GTTGCTTTGGCGGTGTGCTTAGGGTCGTTGTCGTGCTGAAACACCCATCCTCGACCCATCTTCAGCTCTCTCACTGAGGGAAGGAGATGTTGGTCCAGAATTCCACGATACATGGCCCCGTCCATCCTCCCCTCAATACGATGGAGTTGTCCCGTCCCCTTGGCTGAAAAGCACCCCCAAAGCATGATGTTGCCACCACCATGCTTGACGGTGGGGATGGTGTTCTTTGGGTTGTACTCGGTGTTCTTTGCCCTCCAAACACGACGAGTTGAGGCCAAAAAGTTCTATTTTGGTCTCATCTGACCACATCACCTTCTTCCAGGCCTCTTCTGAGTCGTCCAGGTGGTGAATGGCGAACTTCATGCGGGCCTGTACATGTTTCTTCTTGAGCAGGGGGACCTTGCGTGCGCTGCAGGATTTCAATCCATGACGCGTAGTGTGTTACCAACCGTTTCTTTTGTAACTGTGGTCCCAGCTGCCTTCAGTTGATTCATCAGTTCCCCCCTTGTGGTTTTGGGATGATTCCTCACCGTTCGCATGATCAGGGACACCCCACGAGGCGAGATCTTGTGTGGAGGCCCAGACCGAGGGAGGTTGGCGGTGGTGTGGTGCTTCTTCCATTTCCTGATAACTGCACCGACAGTCTTGATCTTTTCTCTCCAAGTTGCTTTCCGATTCTCTTGTAGCCCATCCCAGCCTGTGCAGATCAACAATCTTGTCCCTGATGTCCGTAGAAAGCTCTTTGGTCTTGCCCATGGTGGTGATGTTGGATGCTGGTTGTTTGGGTGTTGACAGGTGTCTTTTATACAGGTAACGAGGTGAGGCAGGTGTATTTGATGTAGATAATTGGTTGGGATTGGGGCTGTGTCTTAAAGAAAGACTAACTGGCTTGTAGGAGCCAGAATACTTGCTGTTTGGTAGGGGGTCATATACTTGTTTTTCCTCATCAGATGGTTATCAATTTTTATAAATTCATATGATGTGATTTTCTGGAATTTTCTTTGGGATTCTGTCTTTCACTGTTAGAATGTACATATGATTAAAATTGTAGATTGTTGCATTCTTTGTAAGTGGCCAAACCTGCAAAATCAGCAAGGGGTCAAATACTTATTTCCCCCACTGTATGTATCGTATTTAATCACATTGTGTTGAATCGCAATAGGGGTGAATCGTATCGTAAAATGACTGATCAGAATGTGATCCGCTCGGTCGGTAACATTTGAAACGTAGCCTACGGCGTAGCTACGCACGTAGAACCTACAAGAGAATCACGAGGTACAGCGTGGACTAGTTTTCACCACTGGAGCAGTGCTCGTTCAAAACGGGCCAGCTCAGAACGCCTTCTCAAGAACCGCTCAACCAGACAACTTCACACTCGACGGTAATGCTCAACTTAAAAGCAAGGAGATGATCAAATGGCTACTGTCATTTCTAAAAGCTAGGCTAAGACCAGGCTAATAAGCTATTTTGGACCAGGCTATTTAGCTACTTGGAACCAGGCTAATAAGCTATTTTGGACCAGGCTATTTAGCTACTTGGAACCAGGCTAATAAGCTATTTTGGACCAGGCTATTTAGCTACTTGGGACCAGGCTATTTAGCTACATGGAAACAGGCTAATAAGCTATTTTGGACCAGGCTAAAAATCTACTTGGAACCAGGCCTATAAGCTACTTGGAACCAGTCTAATAAGCTATTTTGGACCAGGCTATTTAGCTACTTCGGACCAGGCTATTTAGCATCTCGGGACCAGGCTATTAAACTATTTTGGACCAGGCTATTTAGCTACTTGGGACCAGGCTATTAAACTATTTTGGACCAGGCTATTTAGCTACTTGGACCAGGCTATTTAGCTACATGGAAACAGGCTAATAAGCTATTTTGGACCAGGCTATTTAGCTACTGGGGACCAGGCTATTTAGCTACATGGAAACAGGCTAATAAGCTATTTTGGACCAGGCTATTTAGCTACATGGAACCAGGCTAATAAGCTATTTTGGACCAGGCTATTTAGCTACTTGGGACCAGGCTATTTAGCTACATGGAAACAGGCTTTTTAGCTACTTGGAACCAGGCTAAAAATCTACTTGGAACCAGGCCTATAAGCTACTTGGAACCAGTCTAATAAGCTCCTTGGAACCAGGCTAATAAGCTATTTTGAACCAGGCTATTTAGCATCTCGGGACCAGGCTATTAAACTATTTTGGACCAGGCTATTTAGCTACTTGGACCAGGCTATTTAGCTACTTGGGACCAGGCTATTAAACTATTTTGGACCAGGCTATTTACCTACAAGAGAATCACGAGGTACAGCGTGGACTAGTTTTCACCACTGGAGCAGTGCTCGTTCAAAACGGGCCAGCTCAGAACGCCTTCTCAAGAACCGCTCAACCAGACAACTTCACACTCGACGGTAATGCTCAACTTAAAAGCAAGGAGATGATCAAATGGCTACTGTCATTTCTAAAAGCTAGGCTAAGACCAGGCTAATAAGCTATTTTGGACCAGGCTATTTAGCTACTTGGAACCAGGCTAATAAGCTATTTTGGACCAGGCTATTTAGCTACTTGGAACCAGGCTAATAAGCTATTTTGGACCAGGCTATTTAGCTACATGGAACCAGGCTAATAAGCTATTTTGGACCAGGCTATTTAGCTACTTGGGACCAGGCTATTTAGCTACATGGAACCAGGCTAATAAGCTATTTTGGACCAGGCTATTTAGCTACTTGGGACCAGGCTATTTAGCTACATGGAAACAGGCTAATAAGCTATTTTGGACCAGGCTATTTAGCTACTTGGGACCAGGCTATTTAGCTACATGGAACCAGGCTAATAAGCTATTTTGGACCAGGCTATTTAGCTACTTGGGACCAGGCTATTTAGCTACATGGAAACAGGCTAATAAGCTATTTTGGACCAGGCTATTTAGCTACTTGGGACCAGGCTATTTAGCTACATGGAAACAGGCTAATAAGCTATTTTGGACCAGGCTAAAAATCTACTTGGAACCAGGCCTATAAGCTACTTGGAACCAGTCTAATAAGCTATTTTGGACCAGGCTATTTAGCTACTTGGACCAGGCTATTTAGCATCTCGGGACCAGGCTATTAAACTATTTTGGACCAGGCTATTTAGCTACTTGGGACCAGGCTATTAAACTATTTTGGACCAGGCTATTTAGCTACTTGGGACCAGGCTATTTAGCTACATGGAACAGGCTAATAAGCTATTTTGGACCAGGCTATTTAGCTACTGGGACCAGGCTATTTAGCTACATGGAAACAGGCTAATAAGCTATTTTGGACCAGGCTATTTAGCTACATGGAACCAGGCTAATAAGCTATTTTGGACCAGGCTATTTAGCTACTTGGGACCAGGCTATTTAGCTACATGGAAACAGGCTTTTTAGCTACTTGGAACCAGGCTAAAAATCTACTTGGAACCAGGCCTATAAGCTACTTGGAACCAGTCTAATAAGCTCCTTGGAACCAGGCTAATAAGCTATTTTGAACCAGGCTATTTAGCATCTCGGGACCAGGCTATTAAACTATTTTGGACCAGGCTATTTAGCTACTTGGGACCAGGCTATTTAGCTACTTGGGACCAGGCTATTAAACTATTTTGGACCAGGCTATTTAGCTACTTGGGACCAGGCTATTTAGCTACTTGGAACCAGGCTTTTTAGCTACTTGGAACCAGGCCTATAAGCTACTTGGAACCAGTCTAATAAGCTCCTTGGAACCAGGCTAATAAGCTATTTTGAACCAGGCTATTTAGCATCTCGGGACCAGGCTATTAAATTATTTTGGACCAAGCTATTTAGCTACTTGGGACCAGGCTATTTAGCTACTTGGAACCAGGCTTTTTAGCTACTTGGAACCAGGCTTTTTAGCTACTTGGAACCAGCTAAAAATCTACTTGGAACCAGTCTAATAAGCACCTTGGAACCAGGCTAATAAGCTATTTTGAACCAGGCTATTTAGCATCTCAGGACCAGGCTATAAAACTATTTTGGACCAGGCTATTAAGCTACCACACGCCATCCAAGCAGGGGCGTCCCTCTCTAACTTCAAGAAGCTCTTGAAAACTCAACACTTTCTCTCATAACACCTCTAACATGCATTTCCTGTGCTCTTCTTCTATCCCCTACAATGATCTTGTATTGATTGCACTTACTTCCTTCCCTAGGTATTTACCCCATTGATGTGATATGTACTGTGAGCTCTTACTAGTATGTTTTGTCAGTTGTAGATCTGTAGTTGATGCTCTGTTGATGCTTGTATGTTCCTCAAATGTAAGTCGCTTTGGATAAAAACGTCTGCCAAATGAGTAAATGTAAAAGTAAATGTACTTGGCACCAGGCTAATAAGCTACTTGGAACCAGGCTAATAAGCTACTTGGAACAAGGCTATTAAACTATTTTGGACCAGGCTATTTAGCTATTTTGGACCAGGCTATTTAGCTACTTGGGACCAGGCTATTTAGCTACTTGGGACCAGGCTATTTAGCTACTTGGGACCAGGCTATTTAGCTACTTGGAACCAGGCTAATAAGCTACTTGGAACCAGGCTATTTAACTATTTTGGACCAGGCTATTTTGCTATTTTGGACCAGGCTATTTAGCTACTTGGGACCAGGCTATTAAGCTACTTGGAACCAGGCTAATAAGCTATTTGGAACCAGGCTATTTAGCTACTTGGGACCAGGCTATTAAGCTACTTGGGACCAGGCTTATAAGCTACTTGGAACCAGGCTTATAAGCTACTTGGAACCAGGCTAATAAGCTATTTTGAACCAGGCTATTTAGCATCTCGGGAATAGGCTTTTAAACTATTTTGGACCAGGCTATTTAGCTGCTTGGGACCAGGCTAATCTTCATTACTCTTTTTTATGTTGTCAATTTTATATTTAAATATTTTATGTTTATTAGTAGTTTGCATCAAGTCACCAAAACAAATTCCTTAATATTGTCCAAAAAGAAAAGGCAAGAACAAAAATATGAAATCCACACTACAACAGGGTAGTCCTTAATCAGAGGAGACACTCGACAACATAAACTAGCAAAAAAGGGAGGTGACAAGACGAGGCACAGGAGGACACAATTAGGGAAAAGAGTCAAGTGCAAACAATCAAACCAAGGTAAATACAAAAACAGGAAGTAAATATTTAGAACAAAATAGGGACCAAGGCACACAAAAAAACACAAGGACAAAAAAGTATAACAGACAACACTGAATGAATGCATAAAGGGACAAAACATAATCAACGACAAATATCCAGACACAAAGTGATATGTGAACTAAAACATGAAGTACCACAACCAAAACCATAACATGTTGTTGGCCACATGGTTTTCACCGGCTATTGGATTCGGGCTCATGGAGCGAGGAGAAGCAATCTGTCGGACAGCATAGCTTGCAACTTCTTCTTTGTACCCGCCTTCCACCGCTTCACAGCGATAAATCCCGAAGGTGTCGGCGGTGGCGAGGAAGCTCAAACTGCCATCAGCTGACAGGATGAAGAGTTTCTCTGGCAGGTTTCTGAATCGGGGGGATGTCCAGGTCAGAGTGGCCAGGTTGGAAGGCTTCTGACACTGAAGCCTCACTGCTTCGTTCAAATGAACACCGACTTCTGCAGGACAGAACATTTCAGAGTAAATACAAGTGAGAGGAGGTGATGGTGCTGAGTAAGGCTCTCTGTTTCAGTTATGCTGGCAGCACAGCTCTATGGAGGGCAACATCAGTCTGTCGGTCAGTTTACCACCTTGGTCTGGACTAAAATATCTGAACAACTATCAGCAGCATTATCATTCAACTTCATACGAACGTTCATGTACCCAGCAACTGTTGGATGGGTTGTGGTGAAAGGTTGTTTTAGACCTTCAGCATGAACTGTAATAACTTTGATGATCCTCATGACATTCCCATCAGCCTCAGCTGCATCTCTGTGTTCACTGCTAATTAGCTAATGTTCGCATGCTAACGTGCTAAACTAAGACGGTAAACGTGGTAAACATATCCATGAGCAAATTGTGAAAAAAATAGGTGGGATGTATTGAAAAATTTTAAGTCATGCAGGAATATTTTAATAGGCTACTTTTATTTCTTATTTCTCATAATTGAGCAATATTTTTACTCTTATAGCCTGTCTTGAACTCTCATTTGACACATAGGGGCTGTGATCATGCACAACAAAAACATGCAATAACTAAGTCCCCTTTCTAAAACCAGGGTTAGTAGTGGTGCAAAAGTCCGCAGAATCCCTGATCCGGACGGATCCCTCCCGCTGCCAGTTTGGCACGCAGGTGAATCGCGGTTTGATTGCAAAGTTAAACCATCGCAGTAAAACAGTTTTACTGCCACCGTTACTTTTTCTGGAGCCCTGATTTTGTCCCTACAGGGGTTAAAACAATTCAGCAGAATGTTAGACACACTTCAGATCAGGTATTTACGGAAGCGCATTGCACTCACCAGAGAAAAAATTGGAAACCTTATCTCATGATTACGAGAAAAGATGTCGTAATTATGAGAAAAGATCTCGTAATTAGAGATGACTGGAAAGGTGCCATTTAGTACTGAGTTCAGTAAAGTTGGAAATAGATTCACAGATTTGAGCTTCCGGGATCAATAACTCGTAAGCAAAACGTGTTTAAAACACAAACAATGCCTCTTTATTATCGTAGTTAAGTAGACAATGAGCTACAAGTACATTTTCACATAAATGAGTCTTCCTAGGAGCAGAACAAATGACATTGGTCTCTACGTGCAGCCTGCTGTGAGACGAGTGCGCAAGGACCGTCTACAAAGTGCAACACCGAAAACACATTCTGCAGAGATTTTCAATAACTTCACACTTACACAATATAGTGCCCCCAAAATCATCTTACACATTAATGATATACTGCTGGTTATACTACAACACTTTGTATAGGGTAAAAAAGACTTTTGCATACCTTATATTAGGTAGGTCTATTTTCAATATTCAATAACTTCACTGTCAAAGGCTGTAGTGTCTCAAAAATCACCCCAGGTATCAGTGATCACATGTTGATGATACTACAACACTAAGTTTGTAGAAATATTGTTTTGCATAATTTTGGAAAAGTTTTCTCCTCCGTAACTTCACTTTTAAGAGTTTTAGTGTCTCAAAATCACCCCACAAATCATTGATATCCTGCTTGTGATACTTCAGCACTTATGGATAATAATGCATAACTTTGGGGTAGTGTCTCCAAAATCACCCCAATCATCAATGGTCTCATGTTGAGAATAGGTGCCACCAAAACTTCCCCTGAACACTTACGTAACGAAATAACGTCCCCGAACACTTTAAAGAACTTTACATCGTGTCCGTTTGGGAACAATCAGGGAACATTATAAGGCAATGTCCTTGACACCAGCAGGAAAGTTATCAAAATGTTCTAGGAAAGTAAAATGTCTAGCTGGGTATCTGTATAACAGTGAAGTTATTTAATATTAAAATCCCCCAAAATTACCTCAAAGTAAATTTTTTCAAACTAACTATACTACTAACTAATGCCTCAATTACGAGATCCTGATCTCGTAATTATGAGATAAGGCTTCCAATTTTTATTTCTTTGGTGAATGCAATGCACTTCCGTAGGTATTAACTTCTGACAGTAAGATAAATATTTCTGTGAAGAGAGAAGTTTCTGCTTACAATGTATATCGATGTATATTGTCTGCTACGATGCAGAAAGGACAAACTAAATTTCACTTTACAACCTGTTGTAATATGACAAATAAAGCTGCCTTGTATACATGTTCATACATACTACATACTAAGGAAGATGTTACCTGTGTCCAGGCTGACCCGGGTTTGAATCAGACATTCCTCTTCCACGTTGCCATCCTCCAGATCTTGAACCCTGAGGTGTAAACCACAGCCTGTCAGTCATTGGACAGGGCTGATGGAGCTTTTTATTTATTACAATGACTCAAGATAATACACTAGCTGCTCTGCTGCACCTAAACATATTTTAAACAGATCTCTAAATTCAAGATCGATAAGAATAGGTCAGTGTGCATATTAGACCACATTAAAAACAAAAGCTTTCTTTCATCCATGTCAAAATCTGTCTTTCATGACTTATTGTGCTCCTAAATTAACTACTACTTTAAGTACTTTAAGTACTTAAAAAGCTGACGGTTAAGTTAGTAGACTTCGAGAATATTTTTTAAATAAATATGTCAATTGTGACCTGTCAGTTCATTTATTATCCCAAGTGGAAAACCTGACTGGCAGTCAGGCAGAAGAAAAAACAAGGATCAGATAAACAACACAAGTACAAAATTAAACTGTGACCAGTACACACAGTACACTAAAAACACTATAATAACATAAAACAATTTCAACAATTGAGGTTACCTGAGACGATTTAGCCGGGTTATTGCACAGGGAACATATGAGTTTTTGCTCCTATTTCACTTGAATCGTGGAACTCTAAATCTACGACCTGAGGGAAGAGTTACAAACTCAGAATGAAGAGGTTTTAACAGTCTATTATAGTCGTGGACGTGAGAGAACCTGCTGGGCAAAGATAGCAGTCAGGGGAATTTGTGAGACACTTATAACCTCACCAGCCACTTTCATAATGTTGTTTAGGTGGTTTTTGTCCCTGATGTTTAGGTTACCATGCCATGCAATCATAAAGGTAAGTAACAGATTCAATAAAAGACAAACACATAATTGTCTTGTCAACATTAAAAACATTTAACTACCTAATGTCGTACAAACGTTGCTAACCCTGCGAACAGATTGCATCAGAATTGACTTCAGATTTCAGGTCATTATCAATGACTGTTCCGAGATATTTATACTGTTCTACAAATCCAATGCCAAATCCTTTAAAGAAGCTCTGAGATGGTGGTTTGGAAGATTTACCTTCTAAAATCAATGACCATATTGGTCTTTGTGGCATTTTCATCCAGAGCCTCCTCCACCATACCCAACAGTTTCCCTTTAACTAGCCTTTCAATGACTTCATGACCAGTGATGTCAGTGCCACTGGTCTTACGTCATTTAGCTCTTTTGTGTTTCCACTCTTTATGACCAAAACAACAGTGGACTCCCTTCATAACTTTGGTACCCTATGCTGTTCCAAGGACATCTTAAATATAACACCTCACAGAGCCATCTGAACAGCACCTAAGCAGTCTTCCTGTGATGCTATCCAGCCACGGACTCTTTCCATCCTTCCTTTCATTTTCCTTCAGCTACCCCAAAAATAGAATGTATGATTATAGAAAGACCACATACACCACATGATCTCATATACTCGTGCAAAATGCAATAATACTTTTGATTAGAGTATTTCCTTGTAATTGAAAGATATACATGGCAAGAAAAACTCCCTCATTCCCCCAAACACAGATGAGTGGACCTCAGGGCCCTCAGTAGTTATAGTAGAAGGAAATTGATTCTTGACAACTGATTCTGAGGCTAAACAATCTCTGAATATGTTTACAGAGTAATAAAGGCAACTTTCACTTGCATGTTCTCATGACTGTCCAGACCCGTGCAGACCCTGCTGGTCCGACTCCATCCACACAGAGGATCTCTGGCCAGAACACACTGGCTGCAGGATCTGTAGATCGAGCACCTGGCAACAGGAACAGCAGTCACCCCCTCCGATGTCCCCACGTACAGAACTCCCTACAGGACACAGAAAACACTGTGACGTGTGTTCTGTAATCTACATGTCAAATATTCATCAGCCACCTTAAAAGCTTTTACTCGGCCCAAACCAAGCTCACCTGGTCCATCAAAGCAGCCTTCAGGTCATCATTCAGCTCCTTCATAATTGGTAGGGAGACTTTTTTTGACACATTTTTCTTTACTCACGATTTGTAACATGATGTGACATTACTTTTATTATTTTATCACCTTCCGTCAGTATGCAGATGACACTGTGTTGTATAGGTCTGTTGGTCTCAGGGATCTCCTGTCTCTGATATTGATGGATGTGTGGGGGTAAAAACTTAAAACTTAAAACTGCGTGAGGAAACAACAAATACTAAACTAGCACTGAAGATAGAAACTATACTCAAGGCTCGGCTGAGTAAACCATTTTCTGCCACGTAGGAACATTGCTAGATTTAGATCATTGTAATTCTCTTTTCCCCAAATTTTGGATTCAGGAGTCATTTTCTTACATCAGGCGGATCTCTACTAGCTTTTCACGTCACTTATGCTTTACCAACAAAGCTGTGGCATCTTTTCAGGTTTCAAGTCAATTTTTATCTGGACCGATGCAGATAACTACAATGATTGTGTGTTTGGTTTGATCTCTATGTTAAAACTCCTACTGACAGCAGTGTGACATTGGTGGAGGAAATTGCTGCACCCAGGTGGACCACTTCAATTCTTGGACCACTTCTCTTTTCCCTATATCTCCTCCCCCTGGGAAGCATAATTAAAAAGCATGGCATGTCCTACCACTTCTATGCGGACAACTCCCAAATATATCTACCCCTCAAAAGAGGTGAAAACTCCTCTGTGAGTGTTTAAAAGATATTAAGGCCTGGATGGCTTCTAACTTTTTACATCTAAATGAAGATAAAACTGAGGTCATTTTGTTTGGACCCAGTTGGGCTAGTGATTTCTGCTGACCTGGTCTACCTGCAACAATGTGCAAAACCCGTAGTGACAAATCTGGGTGTGAAAACAGACAATGGTTTTAAACTTGATAAACAGATAAATAATGTTGTTAAATCAATTGTTTTATTACATAAGCACTTTGAACATGTGATTCATGCTTTTATGTCAACTCGTCTGGACAACTGTATGTAATGCACAATATATATAATGCACTTTACATTGGCGTTAACCAAATCTCTCTCTCACGCTTACAGTTAGTACAAAACTCGGCCGCTCGTCATTTAACCGGAACTCGAAAGCATGAACACATTACACCAGTGCTGGCCTCGCTCCACTGGCTCCCGGTCCATTTTAGAATACATTTTAAGATCTTATTGTTTGTTTTTAAGTCACTGAATGTGTTGGCACCTCACTACATCTCAGACCTCTTACAAGTCTACACCCCCCCACGGTCACTTAGGTCTACTGACCAACTTTGGCTGGTCGCTCCAAAAACCAGGTTAAAACCCAGGGGCAACCATGCTTTTTCAGCAGCAGCCCCTAAACTGTGGAATGAGCTACCTCCACAGGTCACATTGGCCCCGACCCTCGAATGTTTTAAATCCCGTCTTAAAACCCACTTGTATTCCCTGGCTTTTAACCCAGCATGAGAGCTGTGTATTCTTGTTGTTTTATGTGTTTCTATGTGTTTTTATGTTTTATTTCTTGTTCAGCACTTTGTAAACCTTTGTTTTTTAAAATGTGCTATATCAATAAAATGGATTGGATTGGATTGGATAGGTGAACAGTGCTAACCACTGAGCCACAAGCTAAAACATGCCACTGAAACTTAGAGAGGAAGCTTTGCATTTAATGTTTAAATGTATTTAAAGCAGACCTATTAAGCTTTTCCACATTTTATGACTTATCTACAATGTTACAGTGTTGGATGTTCATGTTAAACATGGCCAAAGCTTCAAAAAGTGAGGTTAAAGTATTTATAAGAAGAGTATAAGTGAGCAAAAACCTCTGATTTCCTCGTGTTCTGTTTTGAACTGGTTTTACACCAACAGCTCTGTTCTATAGCTGTGTCTCAATTCAGGGGCCGCATCCTTAGAAGGGCGTGGCCTTCGAGGCGCACGAAGGCATGCGGCCACAAAAGGCCGAACCGACCGTCGTCGCCGCTCCTGTCGCCTAGCAACCTTCACAGCTGCGGTCCACCGGCAATGGAGACGAATATTTTAATTTTAATATTTTACCTCTCAATAGAGAAACTAGAGATACTTCACCGATGTATCTCAGGCTGAGAGAGGACCCTGGCCAGGTAAATACGGGGGAAAGTAACTAAGAAACGTTACATTTTATATGTATTTAGGTACTATAGGCTTCCTAAAGCTAACAGTGATGTTAACCACAGTTAACGTAGTTTATTGCTACTGCCATTTCACTTTAACAACATAATTTTCATATTTAAAGAAAACCTTAAATATTAAAATATTGACAGTGTTTTTGTCATTGATCAGCTAAAGCAAGTTGAATAGAAAGATATACAAGCCTTATCTAACTAAGCTCTCTGCACTTCATAACAGTTGTTCTTCTCCTTGTATCTCTACACCAGCCCCGGCCCCTGTACTGCAGGATAAATTTGAGAGTTCCTGCGCTGGACAGGTTTTTTAACCTGCAGTACACACGGCCGGATTTCCGGTTGAGCAGGGAGGCCCTGGGAGTGCTACTGGGCCTCCTAAACCAGGAACTGAGACACAGATGGGGTGCCACGATTGAGACCCTGGTGTTTCTCTTCTGGCTGGCAAGCGGGGCATCATGCAGGGTGGTCTCCAGAGTGTTTGCAATGCCTCGATCCACTTTCCACCGCATCCTCCACAGAGTCACTGAGGAAGTGGTGGCCATTTGCCACAAGGTCATCCACCTACCGAAGACCCAGGATGAGTTACAACCGATATCCCGTGGGTTTGCAGGGCTTGCAAGACACAGAGCCTTTTTTAAAGCAGCTGGAGCAATCGACGGCTGCCATGTCTGCATCAAGCCACCGAGCGGCCCTGATGGTCAGTGGCTACAGGAACAGGAAACTGTTTCCATCCATCATCCTGCAGGCTGTCTGTGACCATCAGGGCCGCTTCATTGACACCTATGTGGGCCGGCCTGGGTCGGTCCACGACTCCAGAGTGCTCCGCTACATTTCATCCTTGCAGACGGAGGGTACCTGTGCCTCCAACACCCACTCCCCCTCATCACTCCCTACAAGAGACCAACACAAGGTGTGGGAGCCCAGCGCTTCAACAGCCATCACTCCAGGGCACGCTCCATTATAGAGCGTGCTTTTGGGATGATGAAGACCAGGTTCCGGGCCATCTTCCTGCAAGCGCTGGAGGTGCACCACACCTTTGTACCTCACGTGAGTATTTTCTTTACTGTACTAATGAGAAAATCAACAGACAGATTCATCAAAAAGCATAAATGTTTTTTTTTTCCAGACTGAAATATATTTTTAACCATTTCAGGTCATAACAGCATGTGCCATCCTCCACAACATCTGCCTTGGTGCTGGTGACATTGTGGCCCCAGAGGATGAGGGGGAGACGGTTTGGAGACGGTCAGCGGTGTTTCCTGGCGTGACCAGCTGTCTGCAGAGGTGTCTGCCCTGGAGGAGGTGCCCCTGACCACCAATATTTTTAACAGGCAAGTAAAAGATCGATAAATTCCTATTCATATCCTAACAATTTTGCCTGTTGAAATATTTTGTAGATTTATTTTGTCAAAATAAGATTGTGAATTAGTATTTTGTGTGCACTGCCTATTATTCTTGCCTCTTACTAAAACATCTAAGTGACATGGCAGCCGTCGATTGAACCAGCCCTGCAAACCCACTGATGGACGATGCGGTGGACAGTGGAGAGATGCATCCACACCTGCACACACTCTGGAGACCACACCAGATGATGTCCTGCTGACAGAAGACACCAGGGTCTTTATTGTGGCAGCCCATCCAGGTCCAGCAGCTTCACCAGGGTCTCACTGCTCAGTGAAATAAATGTTGTAAATACTAATAGTTTAAAAGAAAAGAAAATCAGTTATTTAAAAAATATTTTATTTGAACTGATTAATAAATATTATATATATTATTATTTAAGGATTTATTTATTTTTCGGCCAGTCTCTCTAGTAGAGAGAACAGCCTGTCCATCCTCTCCTCTGCCCCTCTCTGCAACTTCATGTCTTCCTTCAGTGGCTGAAGCAGCTCATCCTCTCTGTCCCTCTTTCTCTTTCTTGGCTGGCTCTCCTCCTCCTCCTCCTCCTGGTCACCCACTGCAGCACTTGGCCCTGTTGTGTCTTCAGGGATAGAGGCAATTGCGACAGGTGGGATGGTGGAATGCCTCTGTCCCAACACCTCATCCATGAGGACAAACCAGGGCCAAGTTGCAGCAGTGGGCTTCCCCCCTACACCCTCTCCTGACCCCGGACACTTGCACAGGAAATCAATCATGGTAAATAACAGCAGCAGAAAAACAAATTTCAGCAACTGTGTTTATTAATGTGCATTAATATACAATGTACAAGGTAAATGTATGTATTATATTAAAACAGGGTTGTAAGATGAATGCGGTTTATATTTCCCTTTATGCTGCACAGTGAACGATTTATGCAAAAATGTATACAGAATATATCAATTTCAAATCATACATACATACTTTGTATTTTTTTTTTTTTTTAATTGTCCCACTTTTTTTTCGCTTGGAGGGAAGTCACCTTCCCCCACAGGCCCATTTTCTCCAAAATTGTCCTAATCACAGAGAAACAAAAGAAATAAGAAAGATAAGATAAGAAAAAACATTATTTGTCCCACAGTGGGGAAATTGCGGTTCATGGTAATTGTGTGAAGACACAACAAAGGGCTGCCCCATTTACTGGTTGTCTTATTGTTAAAGGCTTTGAATTTGATGGCGGTTCATTTAACTGTAATTTTAAGTACACGATGATTAAATGCAGATATTACAAAAGGGCTATTGATACTTTAATTACCTCCAAGCCATGTTGGCAGAAAATTTTGCCCCGGTGAAGAGGTGGTCGCTCTCCCCCCTCAATTTAATAAAGAGGGCAGTTTGCTCCTTGCTCCCTAAAACAAAACGACATGTTTAAGTAAGTTTTTGCTTCACATCACCAAACAGTAAGCAGCATAAATCGCAAAATAACCTAGTTACATTAACCGTGTACTATATCCCAAGCTTTTTGTAACTGTTACTAACGTTAACGGTGTGAAAACCAAGCAGGGTTCACAACCCGTCTAACGTTAAATTAGTCAAACGTTACATGGTCACGTTATTTTCATGTACATAATATTAAGAATAAGTGATGTTTAATATCGCGACAATCTCGGTAAGACGCCGGTCTGACTCTGAACCTCTTCGATTTAAAGTGAAACGTTAAAGGCTTTATTTTTTAGGTTGTAACTTGCCCAAACGATTTGCATTTAACGTTAACGTTAGCACATCATAACCTCAGGTAACGTTAACTTAACGTTAGCTCGCCAGTTAATCACTTAACTCACGTTAACTTCTTCCACAAAACTATTCTTTAAACGACACATTGCGCTTTTATGCCTCTTGTTATTTTTACATTTGTGTAGTTGGCTTTTGAAGTGAGTTGAAATGCAATACTTACATTTATAGGTAAAATCCGGGGGGCTCAACTCCACAGCCACAGCCGACGTGCAATGAATGTCGGGACACCTGGGGCTGCGAAGGATCCAGCTGTTGGATCCTCCAAAAGGACGAAAAGAAGGCTGCATTTGTCGGCCGCATTTGAAGGAGCCTTCGAAATGGGACAGCCTAGTCGCACCGACTGTGACGTATTCGGTCTTCAAATGCAGCCTTCGAAGGATGCGGTCCCTGAATTGAGACACAGCTTATGTATTACTGAGCAGACGGAGCTGCTGTTCCATATATGGTCATGTGCTCCCACACTGAGGGCACGGCAACGCTCAGTCTGCCTGTTCCGCCCAGCAACAACAGCAGCCTGGTAACATTCAGGTCTTGGCAAATCAGAAGACAGTGGGCTTTGAGGGGGGGGACCTTAAAAAGACAGGCGCATCTACAGCTTGTTTCAGACAGAGGCTGAAATGAAGGCCTACATGAAGAGACAGTAGAGAGAGAAAATTCTTTTTTTGAACTTAATTCATGCAAAGCTGCCATACAGGCGTCACAGAACCACAATATAGGACTGGAAAAGCAGTTTAATAGGTCGCCTTTAAGTGTTTAAACTATTGTTTAACTGTCTGCTTTTTTATTTTGTAAATGAAAACAATTTATTATTATGTTCTTATTTAATTTTGTTTAAGAGCTTTTCCATTTTTCTTCACATTGCCTTTTTCCCCAGTGTTAATTTTTAACCATAATTATTTACGTTAACATGTTTTTATTAAGTTGTTAATGAATATAGACCGAGAAGTCTGTTTTATTTTTAATCCAGGATATGAAATATCAATAAATCAAGGCTCTTTGACCCTTTGATGCAATAATCCTTTAACCCAATTATTGCCTTAAATCAGTCGTGCTCAGCAAGTTTCAACATCACCCAAAACAGCCTAATGCCACTGTAAACACAGATTTAAAGGGATGATAGTTATACCTATAGTATGAACATTAATGTCTCTGACACTCTAAATCATCTCACAGCAGGAACTGTAATATAACCCTGAAGGTGTGAGGTTTACCTTGGACGGGGAGAGGATGATGTTTTTGACCAGCTGAGGTTGTGTGAAGACCTGAATCTCCTCGATGATGTGTGCACCCCGATTAAGCAAAACCACTTTGTGGAGGAATCCGGACTCTGGATGTCACACAGAGAGATGACGAACAGTGTTTAATACAGACTCTAGACTTCATGCCTGCTATCTGGAGGTAAGAACTGTTTTCATTCCAAACATGATCATTAATGTTTAATTTATCTCACCTGTCAGAAGGAAAAGGACCGTATACTGTTTTCCGTCGGCTGCCTGAGTCCTCATGGCAGCCACACGACTGTATTGCTGCCCCGAAGAAACAGCAAGTGGACCGACTCCGACCGGTTTTACACTGTTGCTGGTCAGGAAACTCCTCTTCACCTCTGCTAATTCACTATCTGAAGCGTTGTCCAGTCCACACTGTCAGGAGAGCAGAGAGGCACTCAGTAACAGCTGATGGCAGTGTTAAAACAATACTTTAAATAAAACAGGCCGAGAGCTCAATTTAGTTCATGTGAACAAAACTGGGCCCAGAATCGAACCCTGAGGGATGCCTTTTCTTTTTGTTGCATAATAACTGTTCTTAGTCAGTCAAGTTTTTTAAACATTTGTGTTGGTGTACATAAGGTTTATCTAAGAAATAGGGCATTAAAATGCATTCATTAATTAAAGCCTACAATCATTTAATCTCTCATGAATGCAGTTTTAAAAAAAGAATTATTATTTTGAAAGTCCGTTGCTCATTGGCTCTGAATACAGTCAAACCCTGGGGCACACAGGGGGGATGTTGATCAGCCTGCAAATGTTCCCCTGCTGCTCAGAAAGAGCCTGTTCTGATGTTCTGATCGTGGCTCTGGACTAGTGTTGTGTTGTTCAAAGAACATTTCGTTCATTTGACCTAATCTTGTATGTGACTCAGGAGGAACGGGTTGTCTCAGTGAGTAATTCGTTCATTTTCACACATGTGTGAATAGTCTTGGACTCTTACGTTCACTCGTCACATGGCAGCTGCATGGTCACAGGAAACAGAATTGATTAGTTCAGGACTCATAACTCTGGGTCTCTGGGTTTGAGTCGTTCATTTTTCACGTGACATCTCGGCTACTGTGGAGCAGGAATGAACTAATCGTTCAGCGCTCACATGGGTCCTCCTCAGAGTCTGTCTTCACTCGGCAGGCTGACTTCCTGCCAGCACCGGGGAATGAGAGGCACGTCTGTTGTCAGGTAACAGTCACTGGACCGACATATATCTAATATCTATTTTGATAATTTTGTGACATTTAATAAAGCATACCGTTATTACAGCGCAGTTATGTTGTACTAAGTTATAGTTTTAACACAGACGCACCGTAACTTTAGTCCTGCTAGTGTTTACAGCTAACAGCTGATGAGAGTTGTTCTGGGTCCACTTCAGAGCCCTGACAGGGTTCTACCTGGACCCGAATTACCTCCGAGGTCGTCTCCTCTCCAAAATAAACAGACCCGGTCATTAAAACATTAAAACACAGCCACGCAGCAACGTTAGCATTAGCCCTGTGAATGTGTTTACAGCTAACAGCTGATGAGAGTTGTTCTGGGTCCACTTCAGAGCCCTGACAGGGTTCTACCTGGACCCGAATTACCTCCGAGGTCGTCTCCTCTCCAAAATAAACAGACCCGGTCATTAAAACATTAAAACACAGCCACGCAGCAACGTTAGCATTAGCCCTGTGAATGTGTTTACAGCTAACAGCTGATGAGAGTTGTTCTGTGTCCACTTCAGAGCCCTGACAGGGTTCTACCTGGACCCGAATTACCTCCGAGGTCGTCTCCTCTCCAAAATAATCAGACCCGGTCATTAAAACATTAAAACACAGCCACGCAGCAACGTTAGCATTAGCCCTGTGAATGTGTTTACAGCTAACAGCTTATCCGGGTCCGCCAGAGAACACACGTTCCTTTTTATTCATCGACAGAGCCGTGCTGTTGTTTCACAGCTCCTCACTGGTGAACAACCTGCAGTGTTTGAGATTATTATTAAATTTGTTAAATTTTAATAAGAGTGTGTTTTATTCATCTAGTGTGTCAAGCTTATTAATATATTCCCTGTAAATCTGATGTTAATATATAGATTTTACTCATGGATAGGCGTTAGGCTGCTGTATGAATGAGCACTTTAGAGATATAGTGATAGTAATTATAATTATATATATATATATATGGCTGGGCTGGTAGTATACTCAGGAAATATTGTGAAAATGGCTGGATTTAGCCGGAGTAGTGGCATAATTGAATATTGACAACATATTTCTTTGGTTTTTCCATGGTTTGAATTTGGTTGTGGCTCCACGGGGCTTTATAGAACCATGATAGAGAAAGATCAAGAGGTGAATTTGTGCATTATACTTTGTAAATTAGAGCAAACCAGGCAGCCTTCTGTGTTTGAGAACGGTGCTGTTTTTTAAAAGTCTCCAACTAGAGGGCTGCAGCGCCGCAATAACCAGCCTAGTTAATGAACGAAATGACACAAAAAAAGATTAGTTAATTTTTATGAACGAGATTTGGTGACTCGTCTTTCAAAAGAGAGACTTTTCCCATGACTACTCTGGACTCTAGATAAAAGGTAACGCCCTGGCAGTGGCAAATAGCTTTGGTTTAATATTTGATTTGATCACATTAATGTTTAAGTTGAGATTTACAATAAATATTTTAGTGCTGCTGTGTAAAGAGAAAAAGGAAAAAGCTTCTTATTTGTTTAAAGTGTTTGCAAACCACATTATTCAATTTTGCGCATAACTATGAGATTAACTGCGATTAAAATTTTTAATTGTTGCCCAGCACTAGTAAGACATACTGTGTTTTAGTAACACGTTAATATGAAATTAGTATAGTATTTTAAATGAATGTCACGTGTTAGTGTTGAAGAAGAGGTATGATTTATTATGCAAGTTGTTCGGGTGGTCTTAAATTTAATGTGGTAGTGATAAACTGCAAAACAGTTTGTGGAGTCACAGAGATCTGCATCTGTTTTTTGAAAGATAAATCCCTGACCAATAAAAAGTTATGTTTGTCTATATTAATGTTATATTCCATTAGATTATATTTTTATTCACAAAGTGTTTGTATTTTTATTGTGTCGTACAAAACAAGCAAGAAGATATATCTTTTTTTAGCAACCAATTTAGTTTCAATTAGGTAATAGAGGGTTAAAAATCTTTAGAAGAGTCTTAGCTTCAGAACAGAGGAGTTCTCACACATTTGTTTTTTAGAGATCATCAGGACTTGATAATAAAGTTGCAAGCGGCGTTGGACGGGTCCCCACACGTGGAATGTATTGTGTGCTGCGGCAGATGTACGAAGGACTTGAACATCACTTCCTGTGTCCATTGTGTGCCAAGTGGCACTAGAGAGCACCCAGTTATTAGATGTTACTGCCCACGTCACCGTGCCATGGACCCGCCCTTTGTCGAAAACTCAGATTGTACAACCTTTATTCATCAATGGTCCAATCCATCGTATTTGGAAGTGTGTAAATCACCAAAAATGATCATTAAATTCAAAATGGACAACTTCCTATTGGCTTTAAGTCATTGGTCTTTTGTAGGTCTGTACATGATACATCTGTCCAGGGGCGGTTTGTTCACTATGGCGATGGGGCGACGCACCGCCAAGCCGGAAAAGGCAGGGGATTTTTCTCACACTTTCTTCAACACTGTTAGGTAGCTGTGTTTTTGTGTTTGTCTCTGAATATCGTTGTCCAGTCATGTTCCATGGAGTCCCGCCTCTTTTGGGGCGATTTCAGACAGGTTGTAATCCATCCAGATCTCTCTCATAGACTTTCATGTAAAGGCAGTTTTTCTCGAGCTGCGGCCACTGAAATGCGATCTCTACGGGTTCCGGGAGGACTCGCACTAACGTGTTTACGTCATGCGCCCAGCAGCTGAGCTACGCTTCTGCCACCTGAAAACGGCTGATCAGCTACGATCAGCTGCTGTACAAAATGACATTCAGGCTGAAAATTCAACCGTGGTGTCGTGTCGGGAGATGCAGCAACTTTACCAGCGGTGGGTAAGACTCAGTATAAATACTACATGTAATTCGTTAAGCTATGAGGAGAGGAAAAGTCTGCTAGCCGCTAGGCTAATTTATGCTCCGTAAAATGCCAGAGGCTAAGCTAATAACTCTGACTGTAAAAAAAATCCTAAATCTTGATAGTTATTATTAAGTCGAATTTTATGGTTATGTTAAATGTGATTGTTATTAAGCCGTGTTTTATGTGTGGTGGTGGAGTCAATTTAAAGTTAACTTTACTCCACTTAACCAGTGACAATTATTTTATGTGTTTTTTTTTCATTGCCAGAAACCACAGAAGAAAGAGGAGGTAGCATGATGTGGCCATCCCTGGCATCTTGGTCAGGGGAGGATAAAAAGAAGAAGAAGGAGAAGAAGAGGAAAAGCAACATAGAAAATAAACCCAAAACAATAGAATATATGTTTTATATTTCCCGTTACATGCTTTATTGTTTATGTGTAAATACAGAGTGAGAATTGGGGGAACAGCACAGAGCTTGTTGTTACTGTGTGAGTACAGGAGAACAGTGGGTATTTTAACACAGCCCACAGTCCTAATATTACTGTGTAACTACAGGATAACAAGTGGAGAACATTCAAGATTTTTTACAACTCTCTGCTTACCTTATTAACATAACATAACGTAACATAAAGAATGGAAATTTCTTTAAACACTTCATTTCCTGCATTCTGGTGAACGTTTCTGCATCACTTTATGGTGGAAATATTTTTATTAATCGGAAAGTCGGCGGTTCAATCCCCGGCTCCCCCTGGTTGCGTGTCGAAGTGTCCTTGGGCAAGATACTGAACCCCGAATTGCCCCTGGCGGCTGTTCCGCCAGTGTATGAATGTGTGTGACTGGTGAATGCAGATGTAGTCTGTCTAGAAAGACGCTATACAAATACGGAGCATTTGCATAATGATGTGCAGCTCTCAGGTATTCTGTGTTGCTCTCTGTTTCTCCCGTAGATCATCCTTTCTCATGTAATAATTGACAAATAACCCTTTCTAAAGGCATTTTCATGTGTTATTTAACTGCAAGCTATATTTGAGACAGGGACATGTCCCCAGCATCTCTTAGCTGCAATGTAACAGTAACTGTAAATAATTTTATTCCTTGTGTAACACAGATGAAATGATCTAGGTTTAAAAATAGGAAAAGCCTATAAAAATCTGAATGAGTGATTTTATTTTTGAAATGCAACTTGAGAGATTATCTAAGGACTTTAAAGGGTTAAAATTCAGTTACCAGGGCAAAATAGACCGACAGGTTAGTTTGGCCAATCAGCTGACAGCAGGTAGGCCCGCCCACCTGCTCCCGCGTCTCTGGGAGCGAGCGAAAGTTTTTCCCCCGCTGCTGTGTGGAGACAGAAGTGATGCTGTAGAGGATGAAAACTGTGAAAAAACGGAGAAACCTGGAGAAAATACAGCTAAAAACGAACTACACTGAGGCTAACTTCAGCACTACAAACGTGGTAGCTAACTGCTGTGAGAGTTTAGTTGTAAGTTCAGTGTTTAGATGTAGCGCTTGAGAGACTAGCAGCGTCGGTAGCTTTGATGTCCGTAGGATTTCCCGCCACGCGCAGTCTTTGCTGATTCAAGAGCGAGGTAATTCATTTAAAACTGCTTTTGTTCATTCGTTATCACCTTACTGTGAAAGCTAATTTATTTTGCAGAGAAAGTACTGAAAGTCGCATACGGTCTCGTATGTTTCGGTTTTAGAAGACCTTGTGGCTTTACTGGGCGCCGCCATTTTGGGTGTGTGTGTCCAGCCGCTCTGGTGAAATCGGTGAGAATGTTCATTTTCAACTTAAGAATTTCACTTACTTTGTACCTTAAATTATTTATGTGCACTTAGTGAATATGAAGCTACAATTTTAGTTGAACAAGCTGGTTTACTGTGTTGTTTAATGTGTAAACTCAGCTTACTTTATTTTGCACTTGCATCAAAACTTTAATTGTTCTAACGTGCAGCTAATTGGTGCAGCTTATCTGGTTGTGTGCAGCCAAATTATTTATGTTTATATGCTGAATATTGAGAGAGAGGCACAGAAAGTAAACACCCACAGTATGTATATCATTGTGAATTTCATGTAGTGTATATTATTGCATGAGACTTAAGCAGTGAATATTTCTCTGACCCTGTCTGCTGACAGGTCAGGGGGTTTTTTTGTGTGCGTGTTTCTTCTTCCATTGTCTGGATTGGATCTGCGGATGAAAATTGATGGCGAGCCGTCCCTCTTGAATGATTGTGGGAGCCATTCCCTCTTCAGGATCACTGGATCTGTCCTACTACTACTGCACTTTGCGGTGCGGTAGGCCCCACTACAACACAAAACCCCTTCACTCACCTTCACACTCCTTCCCCACACACATACATACACCAACCCTATGGAACTCTGAACTCTGACTTACCATTTTTAGGGCCCGAGCACGACCGTGTGAGGTCCCTATTGAATTTGCTCGGATTATATAACATGTCAGAACCGGTGAAAAATTTCGTATTCTACAAGTTTCGCACATGGGCGTTGCAAAATGACTCGCTAGCGCCACCTAGAAAATTGGAAAAAATTAGCCACTCGTTCACGTTCAACCTACATGTACGAAATTTTCTGGGGACATGTATCATGTCAAGACACACAAAAAAGCCTCAAGAACCCATAGCCTAAAGTCAACAGGAAGTCGGCCATTTTGAATTTTATGGCCATTTTTGGATGATTTACACACTTCGTACTTTATCGAACTCCTCCTAGGGATTTAGTCGGATCGACGTCAAATTTCTGCTGTGCCTTCTAAAGGCATTGACGATGAAAAGTTGTGCTATTTGCGCGTTTTCGTCAATGGGCGTGTCCGTGGCGTCGATGATTCGCCATGAAACAGGAAGTTGTTGTAACTTCAGTGTACATGCTCACATCTGGACCAAACTGTACATCTAGGATGAGAGTCCCGCCCTGAACACATGTACATGCCGACATTCACCCACAGTCATAGCGCCACCTGCTGGCAATAGAAAGTGACCTTTAACGAAGCAGCCCCCACCGCATGTTTCACCTACGTGCACGATTTTTCTGTGGTACGTGTATCTTGTCCAGACGCACAAAAAAGTCTCTTGGAGCCATAGCCTAAACCCAACAGGAAGTCGGCCATTTTGAATTTTCCGTCAAATTTTGGATGATTTACACACTTCGTACTTTAACGAACTCCTCCTAGGGATTTAGTCCGACCGACCTCAAATTTGTGCTGTGCCTTCTAAAGGCTTCCTTCAGTGCGCTGAGGTGTTTAACAACTCTGAAGACAATACTACCAGCAATGTCTTCCTTCTCTTTTCACGTAGAAGCACCGACAGACAGTGCTTTCAGTTTGCTGCATGCATGGACACAGAACTGCGGTATAGGGAGAAGCACACGGTCAGCTGGCTGCAGCTAAATCTGGAGTGCACTCGTATTCAATTCTGTATGGTAAATTCAGTTTTAACAGAGCAGAGCGAGCTGACAGGCAGAGTTAGAGACTTTTTCTGTCCGTTTCTCTCTTTACAAAGACGCATGTTGCAGTCAGAGTCTTCTCTGAAGAGGGCAATGAAGTCTCAGTAGTACCCGATGCGAGCACCACATACAACACAATTTATCAAATTACACATCGGATATACAGTATGAAAATAAGATTGATTGGATTATACTCACAGGAAGTATAAAACCTGTTACATGCGTCTATTAAAAGTAAAGTAACACAAAAATGTCAGGGAAATTACTTTACTTAGATTTAAGTACTGCAGTTGTACATTTGAAATACCTTCCTACCTTTCTGATAGGAAGCCTTCTTGAGGTGGTATAAAACATTTCTTCTTATATTCTGATTTGAGTTGTGGACAACTATGACCACATGAATTAAAAAAATTAAACATTTCACTGCCCAAGTCAGCTATAACACAAGTCTTGTTCATCAGACTACATGCTGTACAGTATTTGTGGACAGATTTTGTCCCAGGATTTATTATGCATTTCTTCTTCTTCGTTGCATGATTTAGAATAATAAGGTGAGAAATGGGTCTATTCTGAGTTCATCCTGCACTGCAGCAGCTAATAAAGTCCATTTAATCCCCAAAACGCTTTTCTTTTAGGCAGGCTGGAGTAGAAAACAACTCACCTTTCTCAAGTTGTACAGTAATGTCACATGTGTATGAAGGTGGATCAAACCAGCTAATCTTAAATGTCAAAGTAGAGAGGAGCCTAGTAGGCCTATTTATTTTCATTCATTACACAATATGAATAAGCTATGCAGACAGTTGTAAAGAAAGAACATCTTTTTCTTCTGTTCTCTACTTGTTATAGTTACACAGTATTAGGGGTGTGGGCTGTATTAAAAGTATCCACTGTTCTCCCATGCTCTAACACAGTAACGATGAAATGTGTGCTGTTCTCACATTCTTCCTCTGTATCTACACATAAACAACAAGGCAGGGAAAATATCAATAATCGCCTTATTCATTACTTGTTTTATTATTGTACTTTTTCATTTTTGGTACCAACCAATATTTTTATTTTTATACATATCTTCAAATTAAGAAGCCGGCATCATCTTACATCTAATCCTTGGTCTCTGAGTCTCATTTTAAACACCTCACTTTTGCTCCAGCAGCCGAACCAACCGACTTAACCAACCAATCAGATCACGGCCCTACCCATAATCCTTCCTGTGTGCTACACTTGCACATTATCAACCCCTATGTCACTGCACTTTTTCTGGATTTGTTGTACCCAAATAAAAAGGTTTGTCACAACTAAATCGGAAGATTGTGAAAGTCATTTTTTTTTTTCATTATTGCTAAAGCAGTTGCCTTTACATCCAAAGGTCTTTGAGGGTGAACTGATCTTCACTGTGGACTGTTCATTCATTAGACACTGACAATGAACTCCAGTAGCTGTTCACAAAAACTGTATAGAATGTAGCCTAAAGAACAATCCCTGTCTTATAGCAGACTCACTGAACCGGTCACCTTAGCCATCATCGCAACAATTGCCCCCCCTGACAGATTTGGCAGGAGCTGCCACAGAAATGTCGTACATTTCGGTGAAACGGGGCCCAGGTGCTGCTCTGTAGGGGACACTACCGAGCGATTTTGCTACGCCCATGCACAAAAATGTGTTGGCTGGTTGATTTTTTTTAACGGACAGGTCCTAGAAGGTGAGAGTCAATGACATTTTATCCGAAGCCCTTTTGTCTTCCACAACTCTCCCCAGGATTGTATCCTCTCACCATTTTTATTTGTTTCCTTGCTCTAGAATAATGAACCTGACCACGGTCTGGTGGTTGATGAATTTAGTGACGGGTGCAAACGTGCCTTCTTGGACAAAAAGGTATGTAAAACAAAGGAAATAATATTGATGTCAAATTTGGAATCAAATCGGATTTGTCCCTGCAGATATCAGCCTTCTGAACAGCAGTGAGTATGTATTTTTGTGTGTATATGAATGGTTTATGTGTTTTTTAGGATGCTGATTGTGTTGCAGGCTGTGCAAAAAATTGCCTCTGGGGATTAAAAACTATTTACTTTACCTTTTCATTTCAACCTGTATGGACATTACCATCACGACAGCTATGGACACTGGACATACAGCGTATCTGGGCAGGCACGGACAGTTAATCTCTATTTTTGTAACCATTTCGCTTTTTCTTGTTCATTTTGTTTGTCTTATGGTTTATACAGTATATACCTGCCTTAAAGAGGAGGTATTCTGCTCATGTTCAGGTTCCTCATCTTATTTAGAGTTTGTACCAGAGCAGGTTTACATGGTTATATTTTTGCTGCAGCTCCTCTTTTCAGCCTGTGTTGAAGGCTTCGTTTTAGCTATGGAGTGATACATCTTGTCTCTAAATGATCTTTGTTGGGAGTTGCACATGCTCAGTTCCTAGTTAAGGACTACTAGCCAATCAGAAGCAGAGAAGGGCGGGTCGGCGAGAAGCCGGTAAACAGCTCGGGTTCAGCCGTACGTGTTGCCGACCGGCTTGGCAACATGGGCTGGATTTTGGGCTTTTTACATGCACAAAAAAGAACGAGAGGGAAAAAGCCTAAAGGCAGAATACCACCTCTTTAAGACTTGATCTGCACCATAACTATCTGAGCTTATTCTACAATTGAATCTATGTTTTGTGTGAAAGTGACCGTCCCACCTTTCCCAGGTAGGAGTGTTTTCCCAGCTGTGGACTCCACTGGTGGGTCAGCAAGTTGAAGGTCCTGTAGCTCTCAGTGAACGCCGCCCTGACGTCCTGCAGTTTAAAGACGCACACGGCAGATTCTGGACCTGAGGACCTGAACAAGACCAGAGACAATACTCATTTTATTTCTGAGAGAACAGAACTGCAACATTTAGTTTTAAAGGTCCAGTTGAATGCTCATTTTCAGGTTCATGCTTGTATTTAGGGTTTTTACTAGAAAATGTTTACATGTTTTCGTGGTCAAAAAACACATTATATTTCTTACACTGTCCACTGCTTCAGCTCCTCTTTTCACCCTCTGTCTGAACACCCTCTGTCTCTTTAAGGCCCCCCTCCCAGAAAGCCTACTTTCCTTTGATTGACCAACTTCCCTGAGCACAAAGGAGGGGTGGGGCCTAGCTGCAACGGGCTTAATCAAGGCCTGCTATGTGAGACTGGGCCTCACTGATTACAACTAACAACTATATTCACAAGTTTTGGTGAAAATAGATCGGATGTGATGGAGAAAATATTGTCTGGTTTCCCCTCTGACGTCCTTCGGCTGCTCTGCCTCCACTTTTGGTGATTTAATTCGATTCAATTTCAATTCCATTTTATTTATATAGCGCCAAATCACAACAACAGTTATCTCACAGCGCTTTTCATAAAGAGCAGGTCTAGACCGTACTCTGTGATGATATTTACAGAAGCCCAACAGTTCCCACCAAGAGCAGCACTAGGAGACAGAGGCAAGGAAAAACTTCCTTTAAGAGGCAGAAACCTCGAGCAGAACCATGACTCAGGGTGGGCGGCCATCTGCCTCGACCGGTTGGGGTGAGAGAGAGAGAGAGAGAGAGAGATGTAAGGAGAGAGAGAGGGGAGGGAGGCAGCCTACACAATACACACACAGAGGTACAGACAGTAAAGGTGATGTTGCTATAGACTAAATGAATAATGGTACAGATATTTATAGTTATGTTAATGATTATAACAACAATAGGACTAGTAACAATAGTCGTTGCAGCAGAGGGTGTCGAGCAGGAACACGGGGGCAGCAGGTGACCCGCAGCCACAGATCCAGACTCCACAGCTCCAGAGCCAGAAAACCTGCAGGAAGTGATAGGAGGAGAGAGGAGAGGGACGAGAAAGCACAAGACTACCAGAAAGGGGAGAAGTTGTGTTAGTAACATGCAATAATGGGATGAGGTTGCATACAGAGGGAGAGAAAGTAGAGGAGAGAGGAGCTCAGTGCATCATGGGAAATCCCCCGGCAGTCTAGGCCTATAGCAGCATAACTAAGGGATGGTTCAGGACTACCTGAGCCAGCCCTAACTATAAGCTTTATCAAAGAGGAAAGTCTTAAGCCTACTCTTAAATGTGGAGATGGTGTCTGCCTCCTGAACCCAAACTGGAACCTGGTTCCACAGGAGAGGAGCTTGATAGCTGAACGCTCTGGCTCCTAGTCTACTTTTGGAGACTCTAGGAACCACAAGTAACCCTGCATTCTGGGAGCGCAGTGCTCTGGTGGGGTAGTAAGGTACTATGAGCTCTTTAAGATAAGATTTACAGAGTTTAAATGTTACCAGTTACTTTAGCTGCTATCTTAGTTAGCCTTGCAGCTAGCCGTCCTATGATTCTGCCCAGACTGGAAGCTTGATGCTCCTGGGGTGTGTTGGTGTTTACACTTCTAACATAAGTACAGAAGCTTTGGACTGCTGGTTTAGAGCCAGCTGGTAGCAGCAGCTAGTGGTTACTGTAGCATTAGCAACCAGTAAAGCTGTCTGTCCATCAGGAAACCATAAAAATCACAGAGTTGAGGCAGAGCAGCCGGAGGACATCAGAGGGAAAACCAGAACACTTTTGCAACCAGCAACCAGGAACACTAACGAACCAGCGGTATCGATGACCCGGGCCAACGACCCCACAGAGGTTAAATAGCTGAGTTTCCCTGCCAGTCAGTCAGAACTGAAGAAGTCCTTTGGATGAGGGACGAAACGTCTTCCAGTATCTTCAACCAAGTCCAGTTGCCCTTGATTTTAACCTTCGTTGGAGAAAACTTTTCCCTTTCCTTCAGAACCGTAAAAGCACTTTCTGATAGACGCTGAAGAACCTCTAACTCTGGAACGTGGACTGGTTTATGTAACTTTTGGATCCCAGATGTTACATCACATCTAGCTCTTGTTGGAACAAGATTTACATATGGAGGAAACGATGGTGATTGAGGCTCACGGTATGTCAGTTACATGTACAGATTTTTTATTTTAACCAACTATTCCCCAGTAAATACAGTTTTCCATTCTGTGGGACCTTAACTATCTTATCTCCAACATGGTTTACTGTGGACTAGTCCCAGGCCAGTCAGAAACACTAATGTCAAGAAGAGGACCATTTATAGCAAGTAGTTCCACAGATTTGGTGAAAATGCCCCCAAAAAATAAACACACATGATTGTTTTCTTACCACTGAGAGGTGAAGGCGGCGTAGAACAGAGTCTCTGAGGCGTCGGTGCCCTCTGGTGGCTGGAGGGTGAACACGTCCTGGAGAACATTGAAGGGAAGCTGTCTGTGAGATTGGCAGAGCAGAGGGGCTTTGGCAAAGGACGTCCACTTCTTCTGCAGAGTGCTCCTTCCACCAACATCATCCTGCAAAGACAAGAGAGAACAAACTTGAATGTTATTTTAACGGCACATTCTGCAGACAGGGGCTCCTCTCTGTGTTTACTCTCACCTTGCAGACTTGGGCCACCCGGGCAATTCGCAACTCGTCTACAAAGCTGAACTCTTTCCCAACTTCACTAAAGAAGAAGTAGAGTTTCCTGTCTGACGAGTCCAACGACGAGCTGACAAACACTGGCTCTGAAATACAGGAAGTTGTGACAGATGAGGAAACTGAGGGTGCAATATCATATGAAGGTAGGGAAAAGAGATCTGAGAGCAGATAGCTGAGTGACTGAGACTCAGATGTGATAATACAGGAATATTTTAAAAGGACCTGTGTTTTTGCATGTTGTACCTTACTTGACAGTTACTGATGAAGAAACTGGCTTTCTGCCCTAGCCCCAGCCTGTTCAGTGCTGAACAGAACAGTCCCAGCCAAAGCCCCTCCATCTTTCTTCATTCCCGGAGATCTACCATGTCTTTGCCCCTGGTCTCAGCAAACATCAGGCCCTGTCTCTGCCTACCTACCAGCCGGCTCTATCTCAACACGAGGCCATGGAGAAATACATGAAGGAATCCCTGGCAGCTGGATTATTTCATCCCTCCTCTTCTCTGGTGGAGGCTGGGGTTTTTATCTGATGGTACACTCAAAACTTGCATAGATTTTCATGGATTTAATAATTTTACTGTCAAGAACAAATTCCCTCTGCAACTAATCAGTTCTGCTTTTGCCCCTCTCCAGGGAGCCACTGTCTTCATTAAACACACACCACCTCGTTCGCATCAGTGAAGGAGACAAGTGGTGAAACTCCTTGATCGTACCCCTAGGACACCTGTTGCCAACCTGCTTCATTCATTTCATGACCTTGGAGATTGAGTCACTGGTAAGTGAGGCCTACAGTCAACAGGCGGACCCAGGTAGCGGACCCTCTGATCGTCTTTTTGTCCCATATTCTGTCCGCTCTCAGATCCTCCAGTGGGCTCATGCTGCCTGACTCACCTTTCACCCAGGACTAAATCGGACACTAGCTTTCCTGCGGTTCTGGTGGCCAACCCTGGACGTGGACCCAAGGTCCTTGATCTCTGGCTCTCCAGTGCATGTGTAGAAGAAACCATCCACCAACGCGAGTTCTGGTCTCCTCCGTCCCTTTTCTGTTGCACCTGGTCTCACATTGCTCTGGATTTTGTCACAGGCCTCCCTCACTCTAATGGTAAACTGTTATACCTGTTATATTACATTACATTACATTCATTTAGCTGACACTTTTATCCAAAGCGGCTTACAAGAGGTTGCACATCTCCAGAGCAATGAAAGGTTAAGTGTCTTGCTCAGGGACACATTGGCATAACCCTGGTCTCCCACCCCAAAGGCATGTGTCTTTTCCACTTTCCCATCGCCATAGCCGGACTCGGCTGCAGCCTCAGGTTCAGGAGGAGTGTTTCCAGCCAGAGGAGAAATTATTAAGACTGAACTCCTGTCTAAATGGACCTGTGGTAAACCTACAAACCCAACATAGTTTGGATCATCTTATACTTTGCGAAACACAGAAAAACAGCCGGTGCTTTCACTAGAAGCTGGATATTGCTTCACTCACCATGCAGTAAGCTGAGAGACGAGTCCTGGCTGACGTCTGGGCGGCCATCTTTGCTGAAGTGTCTAGAAATCTGTGGTTTGGTTCCTCTTAAGTCGGTTGTTGTGGCGGTGAACAGCTCGCCGTCTGCACACAAACAGCTGAGGTTGCATTTGGGTTTTAAAGCACACGCGTGTGCAGCAGAACATGTGTGACTGACAATCTCAACTCTAGTTTAGTAACGTATGAAGAAAATACCAAAGACGTTCAGATCTGAACCTGAAAACTGATTATGCTATATGTGTGGAATATAATGGAGTTTCCTGCGGCTTCATACATGTGCATGTTGAATGATCTGTTATGAAAAAAATGTTTTTGTATTTACATCTGGAACGCATCTTGAAACACTTGATATGTTAAATCATGTGTGATTTCTGATTGACAACTGCTTTACTTGTGGAGCAAATCAATCCCCATAGGCGTCCACTGAATAACATTGACTTCGAAATGCCTGTTGCAAACTGATCAGTTGTACCTACGCTCATTATGACATGTACAGTTGAGTTGAGTTTTTAGGTTATTATGAGTGACATATTGACATATTGCACTAAAGTCCATAGAGGCCCATTAACTTCCATTGTATTTATATATCCACACCAGCAAACGGTGACATACAGTTTCGTAAAAACATAATGTATTGAAGTCAACGGAGGCCTGTTTAGCCCATTCAGATCAGTCAAATTCATAATTCAGTATTTAAACTTCAAAATGCTCAGTATTGAACACTGATCAGCTGTGATCATTATGAGAGTTAATGCCCAAGTGTTACCCGAGTGTTTTAAAACTCCAGTCACTCCCATTACATCTCATAACTCAACCGATATATTAAAGTCAGTGACTTTTTAGACTTGCAAACAGGTATGATGAGGTCCAAGCACCTAGCGCAGTTCAGACCTCGGACATCCTGAAGAAAATGTTATCACGCATTTTATTTTAATAGCTTTTGAGTGCTTGGATCCTTTTACACCTGTTTGCCAGCCTGTTTAGTTTGTGTTTGTTCAGTATTTTTGTCTTTAACAAACGTTTCACCACCGATCACCACAGCTGTGACTCAGCAGGGACCGGACTGACCGACGGTGATGGCGGTGTTCCTCTGGAAGGGGCTGAACGGACAGCGGCCTTTAGCTTCGTCCTGTTGGACCATGGAGAAGCTTTCTGCATCCTGAGGGAGACGAAGAAACAGAGGCTAGAGTGAACTGTAGAATCATCAAAGTCATGTCTGAACTGGAGGGTTTGATTTCAACCCGGTTCCTACTTTCATTATTTTGTCTATTCGTAATGTAATCAATAGACAGACAAATGTAAGTACCGGCTGTTAATCAGCCAGAATGACTCATCATACTTCTATTCGGTGTCTGGAGAGACTTACGATGTAGGCATCATGGGGGGTGTAGGCGTAGCTGCCACAGGCGTAGAGGTGGGTGGAGTTTATCGGTTGCAAAACACGCACAAAGTTCGGACAGTCGACCTGCAAACAGACAGGTGAACAAAATCTGGTGTAACAGTTGTTGTTGAAGCGTTCTCTGTTTTGCTTTGTTCCAGAGTCACTGTGTGCTCAACCGCGAGCGATGCAGACTGCCCTACCTTATTCATGGAGATTGTTGTGATGTATGCGGCCAGATAAAAAGAAAAATAGCCGTATACACTGCTATGGGGTGAAAAAAAACTACTCCCAGCTGCAGTTTCTTAGGTACAAAATAAATTAATCTGTGTTTTTATTTTAAGTTAATATTCTCCTCAAAAGCTTGAATCAAACATCACAGGTAAAGCTTGACTGAAACTAAAAATGATTGGTGCATTAAGAATTATTTTTGCACTATTATGGAAAGAACAATAACCGATTTCCGATTTTATCATAATTTATTTGGTAGATTGACCTACGATCAGGAAGGCAGCAGGAGGCTATGGCACCAGGCTTTCATGAGGCAGCTGTGGCTCAGGAGGCAGAGTGGGTTGCCAGTTAATCGGAATATCGGCAGTTTGATCCACCGGATCCTCCAGTCTGCTTGTCGTGTCCTTGGACCAGATACCAAACCCGAAATTGCCCCCCGGCTGCTCCACCAGTGTGTGAATGTGTGTGAATGTTAGTTTTTGTTCAGAGCAGTTAGGCTCAGTTTATGAATGGGTGAATGTGACACAGTGTAAAAGCACCTTGAGTGGTCGGAAGACTTGAAAGGCGACATACAAGCACAGACCATTTATCACTACAGACTACAGTCTTAGTCGCACCACAAGTCAGACAAACACTTTCATTTGAAAGACGTACAACAGTAGCAACATTTAGCTTAGCATTGCAACCGGGGTCTGAAAATAGCACCAAAGCAAAACATGCAGGAAATTGTCTGACACGTGTGGTCTTCAGGGAACATCTTTGGCAGCGTTTCAATCCAAGCTCACCAGTCCGGAAGAGGCCCAGCTCGTCCTGAGAGACAGCCAGTGCGCCGCTTGCTAACTGGATTAGGGGAGGTCACTCCAGTGCTGTCAGAGAATCACTATGCTTGTCTATTATGCGTGAGAGGCATCACTTCCTTAGCCAACATTTGTCTGATTGAAAGCGTGTTTTTGGTATCCAGAAGAGGAGTTTTTTGAGGAGATATGGACCCTTGTGGAGATTTGAACTGAGATTAGGACTCATTCATTAGTAGTTGAACTGGGAGTTTGTATTGAACACTGAACAACTTTGTGTTTCTTGTCAACTGAAAGTGGCAGATAAAAAAAAAAGTTCATTTCAGACCCTGTAGCCATTTTTTTTCACTGAGAAGAAAAACATACCCACGAGGCAAGAGGTGAAAATCATTTCATTCATCAATAAGGATGGAGGTGTGCTCATAATTACCTCTGCGTTCTTCCCTTTAAGTTGACACTCATTTATTTCGCTCTCAGATGGACTCCACTCCACCTGGACCAGAGACACTGCTGATTAATCCAAATCTTTACTAATGCATAACTGAGCCGATAAATCTGTAAATCAAAGCATCATGGGAGATGGGGGAGCTCACCTTCTTCTTCAGGTGGATGATGTCACTCTGACTGACGTCCAATGAGAGGATGGCGTCCCGGGCCCCTACGTACAGGGTGGATCCATCGTCGCTTAGCAACAGCGTGGTTGTGTTGTGGACATCGGGGAGGCTGAAGAGGACCAGAGGTCGATCTGCAGAGTCTGGACACAAACACAGCAGAGAGGAGTGAGAGAAGAGCTAAAGATTTAAGGCAGACCACTTCACAGCACAAAGGCCCAGACCTGAACCCAGACCAGTCTGGCTAGTTTCTTTTTATGTTTGAATGTTAAATTTAAACTGTAGTCTGTAAGTAATTACATCAACAGTTCATCTTGGTTTTCAGTTTCAGAGACAGAGAGTTGAGGTCAGCTGAAAAAAGCTCAGGCACATCCAGTCATTTATTTGGTTAATGTCCTTGCAGAGAGAATGTTTGGTGCTGTAGTCGCTGGTAAATGTGGGTGTCGTCTGCATAACGGTTGATTTTTATTGTTTTGTTTTATGTGTCCTAATGGAAGCATGGAGATGTTAAATAGTAGAGATTCAAGGAGTGAGCCTCGGGGAACTCCACACATTATGTTGGTACGTCCAGATGCATAAAACAGTTCCTGTTCTGAAGAAGACTTAAACCTCTTTCCAAACCTGAGACTCTGAGGTCTGTGCAGCAGCGTCGTACGGTCCACTGTGTTCAAGGCAGCACTTCATCTAATAAAACTAGCACTGAGATCTAATCGAAAGCCTTTATTCTTCAACATAAAAGACTGAGCTGCAGTTTGTCAGTGGCTTCCCATAATGCACCTGTTCTCAGCATGAGTGCAAACTGGTTAATGCCGCGTGGTGTTCTCACATCTATTTTCAGATCGATGGGGGCTAAAGAAAGACCTGGTTATTGTAGATGTTAACCAGACTGAGACTCTAACAGGAGGAGAGAGAATCAATAACACAAACAACGCTTCGTCTGAAGTTAAACATACCGTAGTTCGTTTGAGCAGAATTGTCCAACATGAATATTCTCTCTGGGAACTAACAGGCCACATTTCAGCTACTGTGAGATCAGGACTGAAGGGGACGCTGTTGCTGAGTCTCGTCTAGCCAAATGTTTTTCTGGCTCAAACTATCCTTCAGTTCCATTGTAAACTTGCACCACTGAAATAACCACTTTGCTTACACAATAACGCCCTTAACTGATTTATTGATCAGGATGTTGTACTGATGTTGTTCTGATTGACAGTACTGTTATTGAGGGAAAGTCAAAATTAGGTTGTGACACAGCAAGGGGGTCACACCTGCGTTCAGGCTGTAGGCCAAAGTGACCCAAATCAGATTTTTCTGCTGATATGTGACTCTGATCTGATTGAACAGCTGTAGGTCACATGGACTTTAGCCGTGTCCACTCTGCAAGCTTTAATGCTCAACCCCTCTGCTCATGCAGGTCATGTTCAGGCCTGTTTAAACTATAATGTCAGTCAAACAAAATCTGATCTGGGCAGTAAGTCAGAATTGAGCATTAAGGCCTGCAGTGTGAACTGAGCCATACTTAGCTCACTGAGAAAATGCTGTGTGGTGTATTTGCGATATGTTTAAAATACTATATTGGTTGTATCACTGTTTAATGTATGTTCAGTCTGTATTAAGGTGAAGTCTGAACTTTGAGGTATGAGTGAGCCACATTGAAATGTGTTTGCAGCCGACAAAAATGATGTTGTCCTGCTTGTCTCAGTAGAGAAATGACGCAGATGAGGAGACACTGGACACTTACATAAGAATAATTGAGAGAACAAATATTGTCCTGTAAATGGATTCTGCTCCACAGTTTCTGAGAAAGGTTAAGAGGCCAGAACAAAAGTGGGACAACAACAACTTCTTTTGCCAAGTATCTTGAAATGGTGCTTTCATCCAGGAAAGAGTGTGTGTTGTTTATATTTAGACTACATTCAAATTATATGTTTCATGTTGTCTTTAAAGCAAACATTTTGATCAGTGTATGGACACATGTAGGTATTGATCATTAATGGATGTTGGAAATGTGATTCCTTCTGTGTTGATGTGAGGAGATGTGAAATGGTGCTAGGAGACCTGTGAGTTCAGCTCTTCTGGGAAGCTCGCCCAGTTGTGTTCCAAAAAAATGGGAATGTGATATTGCAGCCAGATCTGGGAGTGAATAATTGTTTTGAATGAGGGCTCTTTGCTCTGCAGATCAAACAATCACCGCGATCCTTTGTGTGGCGCGAAGCAAATACTTCCACCGAAATATGAGCCCGATCGGCCAGATGGTGGTTGCTATGATTAACCTCAAAAAGTCTACTTTCAAAAGGCCACACCCCTCACACCGTAAATCCAATTGACTTGAAATTTCTCACACAGGTCTGGCTCAATGTGTTCTACAAAAAAGCCTCAAGGACCATTAAGGTCTGCATAAAATTTGTTTTCGCCATTTGGAATTTTGTGAAAAACACATTTTTTCTCCTTGACCTCAGCTCTGATTGGATCATCACTGGACTACACTTACCAAAAGTTGCCTAAAGATTTGTTGATATCTCATATAGATTTCAACAAAAAGGGGCGTGGCTTAGGACATAAATAGCCAAAATAAGGGACCATTTGTCCAATCATCACAAAACTGACAGGATGTGTTTACATACGTGCCTGATACATGCCCTGAAAATGTTATTTATATCGAACACTAGGGGGCGTGGAATAGGCGTGGCAACAGAAATTCAACCATACAATCAGACATTAATTCTGCAATCATCACAAAACTTAATGTGTCCTTATAAGTTCCTAAAACAAACCCTGAACGTTTCATTCAAATCGAACACTAGTGGCCGCTGTAAGTGCAAAAAACTGCAAATGATATAACACAAATCAGGCTATAGATCAGAAAACGTTTGTCCAATCTACACAAAAAACTTACAGGATATGTCCACATAAGGACCCCACACATACGCTGAAAGTTTCGTTCAAGCTGACCACTAGGGAGCGCTACAAATGAAATGGGCGTGGCATAACAAATTGTTTCATTACAATGTCAAACCTCGTGTGCGAAACTATTTTAGAATTGCTATGTCAGAAAAGGGTTTGAACTCACAAATCGCCACAATTTCATATGTTTATATTTATTTAGGACTTTTATGTCAATTGTTACACAACTAGACACCAAAGCAAATTCCTTGTATGTGTGTAAAATATCTTTATTACTGCATCTATTATGTGACAGACTTTTGCTAGGTCTTTCCCCCTGTTTCCAGTCTTTGTGCTATGCTAAGCTAAGCTAAGCGGCTGCTGGCTGTAGCTCCATATTTAGCATACAAACACGAGAGTGGTGTCAACCTGAACCTCTAACTCTCAGAGAGGAAGAAGAAGAGGGTTTCACTGAATGTCAAAGGCTCTGTGAGTTACTGAATTATTTTATCATAATTATTCTTGTAAATACCGTTTGACCCACATGTCCGTCCAAACAGTTAAATTTGTCTCCTGATTATGTCAAACAGAGTCATGTTTTGTTCAGTTCTGTTTAACAAACGAGCTGAACGCACATGCTGAATTATTATCTATCTTTTAATAAGAAATAGACGTAAATCAAACATCTATATCCAGGTAGAACTTGTGCAATGCCGTTTCTTTTTTTCTTTAATTGATTGAACATTTAGGGAAGCTGCACTAACATCTTGTTGTCCCAGGTGTGAATATTTTCTGCCTTCTCTTTGGATTTTTGTTGTGACAACAAAGTGAGAATCTGATTCATAAAAGTGCAGAATAAATCAGCATCGTTAGACCTTCATTTATCTTCCCATTATCCTCCAGTGGTACAAACACAATCGATCAGAAATCTATTTTTAGACTTACTGAGGAGGAAGGAGGTTCTTGGAGGAGGCAGCGAGCCGGTGGAGCTCAGCAGGCCGAGGAGGAGGAGGACTGATGGAGCCATGACAGAGGAGCTGATGATAGATGGAGATGTACTTCCCCTCAGCTGTGAACGTACCGACAGTAAAGTGTCACTGAGGAGAAATACTCAGGAAGACTCACCACAGCTTCCTCTGTCCTGTGGTCTGAGGTTGGGGGGGGGGGCTTGTATCCCGCCCGGCTTGTTTATTTGGAGAATTAGTGATGGAAAATACAGCTCTTTGAAGGGAGCCGGGTATTTCAACTCCCAAACAGCCCTTCATTCAGCGCCACGTCTGATTAGATTAGATTCTAGAATTTGTATTTCTGCTGAGTGAAGAGCTAATGAGCTGCAGAGTGGAGTTACAGCAAAATGATTGCTTTAATTTGTTGACACATTGTACTATTTTTGGATATCTCATTTTAATATTTCATAAATCAAAAAATACAGGCATAAAAATCCAATTATTGACCTGTCAGAGCAGTCTCTAACTTCAAGAAGCTCCTGAAAACTCATCTCTTCCGAGAACACTTTCTATAACACCTCTAACATGCACTTCCTGTGCTCTTGTATTTACCCCATTGATCCGATATGTGCTATTAGCTCTTATATGTATGTATTGTCAGTTGTAGATCTCTTACTGTATTGATGCTTATATGTTGTTCATCAAATGTCAGTCGCTTTGGATAAAAGCGACTGACAAATGTTCCACTCATTTTTAGAAAGATAAAGATAAGTGTTGTACAATTTTACAGACAATCAATATTTACAGACCCAATTTCCAATCAAATCCTTCATAACAACAATATATAATATCTCAAACACATCAACATTGATAACTGAGTAACAGCATGTCTGAAAAGTCCCATTAGCACACAAAACACAGTAACAGAGACAGACGCTGAAAGCTAAACCAGCAAGCTAAACGTGACGTATCTAAACCAATCACCAATCAGATTTCACGCTTAACTTAAATCTGCCCTCTGTGCTTTCACGATCAGGTGCTGATACAAAGGAAATGACTCTATTTGGATCTGGCAGCATGGTGCTGTAGAGAGAGAGCTTTCCAACGGAGCGGGAAGCTTCCAGTCTCAGAAGCAAGGCCAACGTCGAAGTCCTTTAAACCTGCATTCTATCAAACAGCCAGCAGGGGGCGACTCTTCTGGTTGCAAAACAAAGTCTGGCTCCATTGGAAATAATGCTAAAATGAGGCGGCTACTCAGCTGATTTATGTGACGTCACGACTGCATCCACTTCTTTTATACAGTCCATAAAGGTTCTGTGTGTAGGTTTTAGTGGCATCTAGTGGTGAGGGATGCAAATTGACCCTTCGCTAAGCCACACCCCGAATACACAGCTGGCCAATCACAGCGCAGTATAGGCCTCGCTCTAACTGAGGTCCTTTTATGGCTGCGCTCCATTGACTCTGATGCAAAAAGAGTCCTTTTCCAGCTTTTTTCTGCTGTATTTTTCTAAGATCTGGTCAAACGCTGTTCCTGGAGCATCTTGTAAAAGTTACAGCAGCTACCCAGAGAGGCTGAAAGGAGAAGGACGATTTATTCTCTTTCCAAAACCTGAAATAAATCCAGAAAAATGTCGGCTGTGGATCGTTCCTAATGTTAGTTAGCTAACGCTGGCTAACTTCCTACTGACTGTAATGTAATAAAGTCCTGCTGTTCTGCTTTTTAGTGACTGTAATAATGAACAGAGGCCGACCAGCTGTACAGGAACACTGTTGATCCTTAATATTGTTGTCTTTTGTCTCAGTCGCCATACAGGGATGCGGCGGTTCTTGTACTGTGTGATCGGTAGTCTTTCATTTTTTTCACGTCAGTCTCTGTCAGTTTAACAGCCTGAATACAACCTTCAAATGTATAATGCAACTGCAAAACTGTCTGCTTCTTTCTGAGATCGCTTTTTCCAACAAATATGACAATATTTCTCCGGGCAGTGCAGAAATACACAGTGGCAGCGCCGACAGTTTGTCGGACTTAGCAACAGTAACTAAGGGGGGCGGTGCTTAGCAAAGGGTCAATTGCAACCAAAGTCTCCCTCACGGCTCACTCCACAGGGACACCAACGGGTCTTGACCATGCGTCCATATGTGACGACTGAGAACGGGTTGAATTGATCATAAAAGTCACGTTGAATTGATCCAAGGTTTTGAGTCACAGATCAGATACATTTTTGGATCAGCAAAACAAAAAAATTAGGGTTAAATTTATTTTAAAATGTTCTAATTTGGCTCTGATGGAGGCTGTCTCGGTCTGCAGTCTTGCATAATGCTCTGTTTGCGACCGGTGGATTCGCCCCCTGCTGGAAAAGACTGTGGGTTTAATGTACTTTTGCAATGGCTTCACGATTCAGACCTGGAAGTTCCTGCTCGGTCACAAGCAGCAGATGTCAAAGGAGTTTTGTTTTAACTTGCTGGTTCAGCTCGAGATCACTGGAAGCTGCTTCATTTCAAATCTGAGGAAGCAAGAAAAATGTCCTTTGATCATTAAACCAGCGAAGAGAAAGAGATGAAGAACGAGCTTCACTGCGTGACATTTGATTATACAGAAACTCTTTACTATCACCTACAGTCTGTCTTCAGCCTGGTTGTTTGTCCCAAGGGGTGAAATGTGAAACCAGCCTGAAGGAGGATGTGAAACAGGATGAAATGAATCAGAGTAATGAGAGAAACAAAACTGCTCTCTTCCCTAATCTGCTGTCAGACCAACAGTCACTCGCAGAACTTTTCCCCCAGCTGACTGTGATTTCAACATCACTGAGCCGAGAAGAAAAGGGTATGTCCGACTTGTCTACAGCCAACTGATGGTGATGTTTCATCCACCCGCCCCCGCCCTCGGACGTCAGAAAGAGGAACCTGTGGTGACTCTTCTCAGTCGCAGTCTTTCAGCGCTGAGTGTCGGTGCGTTCAGAGCTGAGAAGAGATCTCAGTCCATCCTCAGCTCCTCCGTCATGCCTCCATCAGTCGTCGTCCTCCTCCTCCTCCTTGGTCTGCTAAGCTCCGCCGGCTCGCTGCCTCCTCCACGAAACTCCTTCCTCCTCAGTAAGTCCAAAAAAGATTTCTGATCGATTATCAGTCACGTAGGATCACATATTCTGACCATGTGTTTGTGTCACTACCGTATTATGGTGATATAATGATGCTGATTAAGAAACATTTTGTTCCTTTAAAAAATATTTGTCAAAGTTGTTTTAGGATTGATTGATTGATTGATTTAGTATTTTATTCTTGTGCTTTTATTAATCAGATTCTCACATTGTTAACTATCTGTTCGACCTCAGTACAGGACTATGTTGAGTATTGATTATTAACTGTCAACATTTTACTAAAACAAACTAGATAATTAATTATTCACACACGTTCAGCTCGTTAAAAAGGACTGAACACAAAATTCACTCTGTTTGACAAAATCAGGAAAATGACTGAACTGAGAGTTTGGACGGACACATGGGTCAAACATTTCCAAGAAGGGAAGTTCATAATTATTCTTCAGCACCGCTCACAGGGCTTTTGTTAAAACAAAACTTTGACATTTAGCAAAATTCTCTTCTTCTTCTTCTTCCTCTCAGAGAGTCAGACTCTGATGTCTCCACGCCAAATATGAAGCTACAGCTACCAGTCGGTTAGCCTGCAGCTTCTGTAAATCCTTCTGGCAGCGCCTCTAAAGCTGATTGACATTCTATGTCTGTAGATTACAATTATTCATTTAGCTGACGCTTTTATCTAAACTTATCCGACTTACATTGCTATATATGTCAGAGGTCACACGCCTCTGCAGCAACTAGGAGTTAAGTGTCTTGTTCACAGTGGATTTAAACCCGGTCTCTCACACCAAAGGCATGTGTCTTATCCACTGCTCCACCCCCCCCCCCCCCTGTACTTTGTAACATAATAACCCTAAATACACTTTGATTTTGGATCAAACAAACAAGATGTAACATGTTAATTTGGAACATCCTTTAAAGTACATTTGAGCACCATCAAGTTACTGTGAACGAGCTGTCCACTGATCACAGGGTTTGATCTCCAGGCTCCATTTCTGTAAAAGTAAAATCTTTAATAACCAGAGCTGCTTCACATCTGATGTTCCTACTGTCTGAACTGTCTATCCCATCATAACCTCAGAGGAAGGCCATTTTGTCTTTCCACTTAACCTCCCTGACAGCTGATCACTGAGTCAGACTACTCCCGGACATCTAGTGCTCCTGCTAAATGAATAAACGGACATTAGCTGAACACAAAGTGCAGAGAGGAATGATGAGATGAATACTGTATGATCATTTACAGCCACCATGGAGCTGTTGCAGTGTTGTGCATCATATCATTTCCTGTCTTCTCAATAAATGACGCTCAGAGAGGCTTTAACATGTTGGTGACATCTCTTCAAAGGTGGCATCTGTGTGTGTTTTATGGAAATTATAAACACTCTGAAAAATGTGTCTGACAAATCTTTTTTTTAATGCAGCCTCGTCTTAAGTCTTGACTTTACCTTAATAACACAGTGGTGGTCAAACCTTTTCTGTCATGCCTCCTTTTACAAGCCGAAAAGTTTAAGGCCCGCGAGTCCAGCAAAAGTTGTTTTTTATATCAGTCATTAATAACATGTAAATGAAACAAAAGATTCAGGTTAGTGAAACAGATTTGCTTGCATCAAAAAAATTTTTTTTTGTTTATGTAACCACGTGAACCACAGTCATGCAACTTCAGGTTGGCTCAACATCCATGCCCTCCCCCAGTGGCAGGCCTGGCCCAGTTTGAGAGCCACTGCCTTAATAACAGCGTAACATACTCGTCAATACATCAGTAAAGGGCATGACTGGAAGTGAGCAGTTTCTGTTTTATTGGTGGAAGTTGAGGTGAACTTACACTCTTACAGTATTGAAACCATCAGAACAGATGAGCTGTAGCGAGGGAAGTAGCTGAGATGTGGCCTGTAGATGCCAAACAGAATCTTTATGTTGGACAATTCTGCACAAACGAGCTACTGTATGTTTAAGTGCAGGTCCCGTACCTGAACTCTGATCTAATGCACAGAAGTCAGACATAGTGCAAACCTTTCCACACACAGTTAGACGCCTGTCCCTTTACTGGCCTGGTGTGGCTACACGGTTTGACAAAAGCCTGGTCTGTTTTTTATAGAAGTTCATTGGATGTATAAAACCTCTTAAAACCCACCGGGTCGCCCTCTTGAACTAAGCTGCTTAGATCGCACATACAGATATAAATGTTTAAACTTTTGTCAGTATGGACATGCTACACATCGGTTAAATTCTCCACAAATCAGTCGTTCAGTTCATTTTATAAAAACAATGAGCCCCAAGGTGTGATTCATTCAGATTTACTGGCACTCTCTCTCTCTCTCCTTTGGGCTTGAGGTTGGTCTAGATGTGCTGTCTCTCGGAACAAAATGAATGATTCGTAATTGATATGTTAGACGATAACCTTATTTACTATAAGTAATTGTCATACTGGTTTCAATAAACAGTTTGATAGCAGCCTATTTCCCGTCTCTGCTGAGCGAGAGTTTTATGTGAAAGAAATTAAAGGCCTGTCCCAAATATAGGCGGGGTGATTCAGAGCAAAATAAAAGCCGGGCTGTTAATTGAAGTTTTTTGGTGTTGCAGCGACACTGAAGATTGGCACTGGAAGTACGTGGTGTGTTTCAGGGGCCCATTTCATAAAAGTGATTTGCAAACACCGCTTACATGCAGATCTCATGCACAGGCTGCAGGGATGGTGTTTGTTTTGATCAGTGAAGTTAACCTGATGACATCCAGCTCAGCTCCGCCTCGTCTTGCCTACAAAGTCTGCTAGAAATCTGGGATTCGTGATTCATGACTAACTTTCTCTGAGGATATTGCAGACCATGTGAATAAAACCAAACTCTGTCTGCTGAGACCGCCATCACGCTACTCTTATTTCTCAGTTGTTATTTTAAACTCTTATCTCAGTGTGCAGCTGCTGTGAAGCAGGCAGATACAGACGGTGAGTTTCTCTGCAGCTCAGAACCACATCCTCTCCAAACCTGAAACCACACAGTCGGCTTCTGAGGCAGGAAGTAGTGCTGTCTCTGCGTCGGTCGGTGATGCGGATGGAGCGTTGTTGGTGGTATTAATGATCGCTCTCTGTTCTCTCTCCTCCTGTTAAGAGTCTCAGTATGGTTAACACCTACAGTAACCAGGTCTTTGTTTAGCCCCCATTAATATGAAGATAGATGCAAGAACACCGCATGGCATTCACCAGTTTCCACTCATGCTGTGAACAGATGCATGATGGGAAGTCTGGGGTCTCCTGAGACCACTGACACACTGCACTTCAGTCTTTATTGTTGAAGAATGAATGATTTTGAATAGACTCAGGCAAGCTCTCAGTTGTAGTTTTATTAGATGAAGTGCTCCCTTAGACACAGTACCGTACAATGCTGTTGCACATACCTCAGAGTCTCAGGTTCAGAAAGACGTTTGAGTCTTCTTCAGAACAGGAACTGTTTTATGCATCTGAATATTTGAAAAGTTTCAGTCTGGTTTTAGGAAGTACCACAGCACTGAGACTGCCCTGCTTAAAGTCACCAATGACCTTTTAATGTCTGCTGATGAAGGCATGTGCTCAGTCCTGGTACTCTTGGACCTTAGCGCTGCTTTTGACACCATTGATCACAACATCATGTTAGATAGACTGAGGCACTGGGTGGGGATCTCTGGTACTGCCCTAGAATGGTTTTCATCCTACCTGTCAAATAGGAAGTTTTGCGTGTCTGTAAACAACTATGTCTCCTCGTTCTGTCCAGTTAAATATGGTGTGCCTCAGGGGTCGGTCTTAGGACCCATTTTGTTTTCCTTGTATCTGCTTCCCCTTGGACATATTATCCATAAACATGGCATTTCTGTTCATATTTATGCTGATGACGCACAAATATACTTGCCCATCAGATCCACAGACCCTTGAATGCTGAGTTCACTTAACAACTGCCTTTGTGAAGTTAAAAAATGGATGTCAAATAATTTCCTCCAGCTGAACTCAGACAAAACAGAAATCCTGGTCATCAGGTCTCAGCAGATGGCAAAACAAATACTGCCATCTGCTGGTTCCCTAGTAAATCACATTAAGCCTTTGGCAAAGAACCTTGGTGTTTGGTTTGATAGTAATTTAAATTTCGAGCAGCACACCACAAAGCTTGTTCAATCATGTTTTATCAACTTAGAAATATAGCAAAAATTCGATCTATGTTATTTTAAGGACAACGAGACCATTTTACACCTTCATCTCATCACGCCTGGATTATTGCAACAGCCTTTTCACCTGTTTAACCCAAAAATCTATTGATCGACTCCAGACTGTCCAGAACTCAGCTGCCAGGCTTTTAACCAGAACAACCTATTTTAGCTTATTTTATTGTATTTTACAAATTTTATATTTATCTGTATTTTAGTCTTTTCAATGTTTTCATGCTTTTATCTTGTATTGTTTTTGTATTATTGTCTCTTGGGTATTATTGCCTTTACACTTGTTAAAGCGCTTTGTAACTTGTTTTTGAAAAGTGCTCTACAAATAAAGATTATTATTATTATTATTATGTGTGGAGTTCTCCGAGGCTCAGTCCTTGATCCTCTACTATTTAACATTTCCATGCTTCCATTAGGACACATAAATCAAAACAATAAAAATAAACCGTTATGCAGACGACACCCACATTTACCAGCGACTACAGCACCAAACATTCTCTCTGCAAGGACATTAACCAAATAAATGACTGGATGTGCCTGAGCTTTTTTCAGATGACATCAACTCTCTGTCTCTGTCTCTCTGTCTCTGAACACCAAGATGAACTGTTGATGTAATTACTTACAGACTACAGTTTAAATTTAACATTCAAACATAAAAAGAAACTAGCCAGACTGGTCTGGATTCAGGTCTGGGCCTTTGTGCTGTGAAGTGCTCTGCCTTAAATCTTTAGCTCCTCTCTCACTCTACTCTGCTGTGTTCGTGTCCAGACTCTGCAGATCGACCTCTGGTCCTCTTCAGCCTCCCCGACGTCCACAACACAACCACACTGTTGCTAAGCGACGATGGATCCACCCTGTATGTAGGGGCCCGGGACGCCATCCTCTCGTTGGATGTCAGTCAGAGTGACGTCATCCACCTGAAGAAGAAGGTGAGCTCCCCCAACTCCCATGATGCTTTGATTTACAGATTTATCGGCTCAGTTATACATTAGTAAAGATTTGGATTAATCAGCAGTCTGTCTCTGGTCCAGGTGGAGTGGAGTCCATCTGAGAGCGAAATAGAGGAGTGTCAACTTAAAGGGAAGGACGCAGAGGTAATTATGAGCACACCTCCATCCTTATTGATTAATGAAATGATTTTCACCTCTTGCCTGGTGGGTATGTTTTTCTTCTCAGTGAAATGTTAGCTAAGCTTTATTATGGCTTTTCTGAGACAGTTTTGAGCCAAATTGGATCAGCTTGCTTGGAGAAGTATGCCAAAGTATTGAACATGTAAGTTTGTGTTGCCAGTAGGCGAAATTCAACGCAATGACACGGACATGACATTTGGTAAATACTAAAAAGGTTCACAGTTTAGCATCACACAGGTCTTGAGATTGTACTGCCCAAATTTGAAGTCGTTTAAAGATTTCCTGAAACATTCAAAATGGCTTTCTGTTGGGTTCAGAAAGGGGCTGCTTGTCAGACCATGTAAACAGAAATAAACAGAACAAGAACAAAGAGTTGTGGTGAGTAACAGACACAAAAAGAGGAAGGGAAAATAAAGACGTCAGAAAGAGAGCTGCAGAAACTGAATGATAGTTTGCAGTCTGAAGAGTAAAGCGAGATAGAAACACTGCCAGAGTTGGTGGTCCAACTCCAGGACTGAGTGTTCACTCACAGAGTCACAGAGCTGTTTCCAGGTGACAAAGAGAGTATCAATGATGTGTTTTCTGCTCAGTGTATCTTTAGAGAATAACTAAATCTCCTGTTCCCAAAATCCATGTTTTTATATGATATTTTATATGTCACCACTATGGCAGTATCTCACCCATCTGTGACAAAAACATTGTTTTGTAGGTATTCTTGATGATATTTAAGTTTGTCATTTGGAAAACCATTTTACAATTTTGATTACTCACTCCGCACTTGTATTAATTTAGCATCCAGTGAAAACAATATGAAGCTGCTGAAGCATAGTGTTTCTGGGGCTGGGCCCCACTGATTACTGTACAAAAACACAACTTTCTTCACTGATTCTGGTGAAACTGGATCATATGTGAGGGAGAAATATTAGAAATATGGAGACAATATTTTTTTTTCTCTCTTGTCCCCTGGTTTTCTCCTCTCTTGACCCCTGGCTTCTCTGCCTCAACTCTGTGATTCACAGTTTCTTGAAGGACAGGCACCTTTACTTGTTGCTGAAGTTAGTTAACAAAGCTAACTAGCTGCTGTTATTAGCTCAGTGAGCTGTGCAGCTACTGGTCAAATTAGCGCACTCTGCCCGTACTGCTTGGAGCACCAGGGAAGTTTTAGTGTTTACCATAGTGTGTATGAAGGTGTTTACACCTTTACTCAAGACCTGGAGGTTTTCAGGACAGGGGCGGACCCAGCAGGGAGGGATGCGGTTCCAGATTGGAAACCGTAGCCGGGCGAGCGGGCAACGAAAGCTTACTGAGCAGTCTCCCAGTAAACACAGCATGAACAGGACCGAACACAGCCTCAGAGACCAACAGGGAATCCAGTAACTTACTGAGATGATTTACACAGGGCTTCTGTGATAGCTTTACTTTTTACTAAACTGCTAACCATAGCCTATCTGCCTGTATCTGTGGCTGGTTACTTCAGTCGGTTAGCCGTGCTAGCGTTCCTATTTGCTTACTCAACCCCGGGTTGCCAAGAGCCAAACCCGGCAAGAAAACCATATTCGTACTGTATCCCCAGTGGCCAAACTGGCCTCTGTCGGTCTCGGAGGCTGTGCTCGGTCCTGATCCAGCTGCCGTGTTCACTCACTGGGACCTGGAACCAGTCCGCAGAACCAGTCCGCACAGACTCTGCATGATGGGGTGGGGGCATAAACACACATTGGCCGCTACTGGCGACTGTAAACGCCAATCAATGTCTATAACATGTCCCTCTCTTGCTTTGGGTTTTTACCATAGACCATGTATATAAAAAACATATATGGAGGCAAATAGCACTGCGTTTTCTGTTTCATGGAAACGTTCTGCTTAAAGTAATCCCTATAAGTAATCCCAGATTTTACTAAATGTACCTGTAATCTGATTACGTCTATTTTTTCTGTACTGTCACGGCATCCAGTTACATTTTTTTTGTATCCTGATTACCTAACGCCGTTACATGTAATCCATTACTCAAACAACAATGCACTACATTAAAGGTAGGTGAGGTAATTTGGTAGTTTGTGGTGCCTGTTGAGAAAGTTTTGTCTAACTGTTGTCTCCCCAAGAAGGACAGTTATATGAGAGAAACAACCAGAGCTGGAAGGTCAGTGAACACTTGTGGGTTCAGCAAATGACCTGTCTTACCATTTCCTGTTACATCAATTAAGCCCCCTAAGAAATATCTTTAACAGTGCCAAATCACCCAGCTGCTGGTAACAACAAGAGTAAAATAAATTCTAAATAAAGCATTATTTATTGTGGCCATAGGTTCGTGGTGCCATGTTCACGTCACTCTGGTTTCTGAGTGTATTTGTAGATCACCACATCCTCTGATCTATGTTCACCTTCCCCCAGCCCTCCAACACATTGTTGCTTTATAGTGTGCAGAACAGACAAACATAATCTCACTTGTCTGTGTGTCTGCAGGTCGACTGTCCGAACTTCGTGCGTGTTTTGCAGCCGATAAACTCCACCCATCTCTACGCCTGCGGCAGCTACGCCTACAACCCCCATGATGCCTACATCGTAAGTCTCCCCAGATTACTGACTGAATGGAAGTATGATGAGTCATTCTAGCTGATTAACAGCCGGTGTATGTCCATCGATATGTAGCTGTTAACGTGTTCGGTAAGGTGTTTCTGTTACAGATGGACAAAATTATGAAAGTAAGAACCGGGTTGAAATAAAACCTCCAGTTCAGACATGACGTCAGACTATCATTAACATTTGAGTCCAGCCTCTGTGTTTCTTCGTCTCCTTCAGGATGCAGAAAGCTTCTCCATGGTAAAACAGGACAGAGCTAAAGGCCGCTGTCCATTCAACCCCTTCCAGAGGAACACCGCCATCACCGTCGGTCAGTCCGGTCCCTGCTGAGTCAGTGTGGATGTTTGTTAAAGGCAAAAATACTGAACAAACACAAACTAAACAGACTTGTGTAATGGGGTCCAAGCCTTTAAAAGCAACTTGAAGAAAATGTGTTCTTGCATTTTCCTCAGGAGGCGTGAGCTCTAAACTGCGCTGGGTGCTTGGACCTCATCATACTTGTGTTCTGCAGCACATGCGTGTGCTTTAAAGCACAAACACAAGCTCAGCTTTTCTGTTTATGTGTAGACAGCGAGCTGTTCACCACCACGACAACCGACTTCAGAGGAGCGAAACCACAGATTTCTCGACACTTCAGCAAAGATGGCGGCCCAGACGTCAGCCTGGACACGTCTATCAGCTTACTGCATGGTGAGTGAAACAAGAGTAATGTGTTCATCGGTGAACTGATTATCATTTAAGAGTAAATGAAGCAATGTCCAGCTTCTTAGTGTTTAAGCTGCTGGTCAAACTGTCTGGCGAGTTTCAGACACAAGAGAAAAAGAGGAAGACAAAATAGTAAAGGCATCAGAAAGAGAGAGACGGCTGCAGAAACTGGACGCTAGTTTGCAGCCTGAAGAGTAAAGTGAGACATGAACACTGCCAGGGTTGGTGGTCCAACACCAGGACTGAAAGTCTTCCACCAGAGCTGTTTTCAGATCACTATTATCAGCAGGAGATCTGATGGTAGAAACTATGTTGGGTTCGTGGGTTTACCAAAGTCTTTGGACCTCTACACGGAGGTTCAGAGCCTTACCAGTTTGGTCCTCTGGTTGGAGCCACTCCTCCTGAACCTGAGGCTGAAGTCGAGTCCATGGAGTTCCAACAGAGACAGAAGCTTAGCTTAGCATTAGTCACATCAGAGTCTTGGTTTATTACATCATGGCTGAGGTGAAGCCATAGAATTCAGTCTGACTGACCTTTCAGCTCCTAACAGACACATACAAGCTAGTTTTGAACAGCAAAGTGTTTCCTGTCTTTTTGAAATGGTTACTTTCATAGAAGTAATTTGCAAACAGCAAATATGGTGGAAATGTAATACCCCCCAGATAACATCTGAAGGAACGTTTTAATTAATGGATCTGACAAATTGGAGAACTGTAGCATCTGCAGCATTATTAAACTGGACTGTGGTTCTGTTCAGACAGCACTTGGCTAGGGTGAGGGAATGTTCCTGGTCTTGTCTAACACAGAAAACAAGTCCACAAGAGACACAACATGTTTACTGATATTTAACAGGAACCCCAATCTTATTATTCCTATGAATTACAGGAATGCAACAGCGGTACAAGTCTATAATTCTTCTGGTCCACACTGATATTGTGACCCGTTGAATCAAATCAGAGCTCTGTCCATTGGAAGAAGTGAGTCCTACCAGCATGACTGCAGGCTCAGGTGGAGGACGATTCAGCAGTTTGTTTTGAGTGCCCAGCAGAAATTTAAATGCTGACATTAAACCATAAAAACCTCCAGAAGCACAGTACCTCACTTACTTTCAAACAAACCATGCTGCAGTGAGAACACAACAGACTGGACTTCCTATTTTCTGGCCCTGATGATTAATTTCCTCTTTATCTCAAAAATCTGAATTTGTAGAGGTGCCTCCACTTCTGTGTTTTAGTCATTGTGACAGAGTCTTTGCAGTCAAAGTTGTATGTTTGGTACCCTGTAGACCCGGGTTCGGATCTCGGTGGTGTGACTGCTCTCCCCCTTCGCTACATACATTGTTACTTAGGACTTGTTATCGAACCTCAGTTTCTTGATCGATGACTGTCAAGTATTCAATGAAGAAACTCAGCATAAAGGATGTGGTCCTTTAAAAAGTATTGTACTATCACATCTGAGTCTCAGTCACTCAGCTATCTGCTCTCAGATCTCTTTTCCCTACTTTCATATCATATTGCACCCGCAGTTTCCTCATCTGTCATCACTTCCTGTATTTCAGAGCCAGTGTTTGTCAGCTCGTCGTTGGACTCATCAGACAGGAAACTCTACTTCTTCTTTAGTGAAGTTGGGAAAGAGTTCAGCTTTGTGAATGACTTGAGAATCGCCCGGGTGGCCCAAGTCTGCAAGGTGAGAGTAAACACAGAGAGGAGCCCCTGACTGCAGAATGTGCTGATATGTAAAGTATAATAGCTCTTTGTTGGCTTTGCAGGATGATGTTGGTGGACAGAGGACTCTGCAGAAGAAGTGGACGTCCTTTGCCAAAGCCCCTCTGCTCTGTCAGTCTCCCAAACGGCTCCCGTTCAATGTTCTCCAGGACGTGTTCACCCTCCAGCCACCAGAGGGCACTGACGCCTCAGAGACTCTGTTCTACGCCGCCTTCACCTCTCAGTGGTAAGATAACAACAGCCAAACCTCGGTATGGTAAACCTGACTGAGGGCTGCAGGAATTCAAGCCAAACACCATGGAGGGATTTAGAACTACTTCAGTGGCTGCCTCAGACTTGCCACCTAATGATTACAATGCTGTTTGGGTCGTTCTGTCCTTTTGTCCAAAACCTGTCCAGGTGTATACCCACATCTCACCATCACTCTACTGATACACTCCTGCCAACACCTCAACTGCCTCCTTATTATTTGCTTTTCTTTGATATTGTTGATTTAAGTAAGATTAAATAAGCGTGTGTGTTTATTTTAGGGGATCCTTTCTTCCAGCAGAGTCCTTATTGCTGCTCAGATTCTTTGAAAAGGCTCCAAGCATACTGCTAACCTTTTTCACCAAATCTGTGGAACAGTTTGCTATAAACCCTCATCTTTATCACATTAGTGTTTCCACCTGACCTGAAAACAAGTGAAACTCATCCACAGTAAACCGTGTTGGAGAAAAAATGTTGCACTCCAGCTTCTGTCCTCTCAGAAATAAAATGAGTATTGTCTCTGGACTTGTTCAGGTCCTCAGGTCCAGAATCTGCCGTGTGCGTCTTTAAACTGCAGGACGTCAGGGAGGCGTTCACTGAGAGCTACAGGACCTTCGACATGCGGACCCACCAGTGGAGTCAACAGCTGGGAAAACACTCCTACCTGGGACAGGTGGGACAGTCACTTTCACACAAAACGTAGAGTCACATGTAGAATAAGCTCAGATAGCCATAGTGCACCGGTCTTCTGGTAATATACTCATAGTCATAAGACCAACAAAACTAACAAAAGTGTAAAACTGGTGTTATGGAAGAAAGCGTTGTGGCATCCCTCAGGGCACGATTCTAGGCCCAGTTCAACACATTCAACTCGTCCCAGTGTCGGGCAAGTTACACCAAAAATGTAATACATTATAGATTACTAGTTATACTAGTCATGTGAGAGTAATTAGTTATATTACAATATCACTGTCTGTGAATTGTAATACTTAACACTATTTTTGAGTTACTTCCACTGCAATTTAATGGGCGTATTTTACAGATAGATGTGCTTGATTATTTGAATCTGCCGACACTCCAACAGGATCGGTCAGGATGAACTGACAGCAGTCTCTCTTACTCTTTTACTCATGGATTTGTTTTTCTGGTGCTGAAATGTTCCTCGGTGTTGGTGAATTATCAAAAAAAACAAATGACCACTTAATTTTGGTTAACGGGTATAATATTACCAATTTAAAAAAAAAAAAATGCTTTACAGCAATAAAAAGCAAATACATTAGCAATACATTACTGATGAGCGTTACTCCCAAAACTGCATATAGACGCTTGGTCAAGACCCCATGGTGTCGCTTTTTAACGCCCAGGGCTCCGCGCTCGATTTAGCAAGAAAAATATGCAGCGTCCGGTTAGGCTTTCAAAATAAAAGTACTTCTTAACATTATAAAAACAACGCAGTTTGGTTTGGTTTAGGCAAAGTTCATGGTTATGGACATACGTCAGTTAACTTACATAAGTTAAGTAATATTACTTGTGTAACTTGCACAACTTAAATAAAAACAATCAATGTTGACTTTTTGTCCCACACGGGAAACAAACACCGACCAGCTCCTCTTTTCTGTTTATTACAAACTGACACCAACAGCTCTTGACCATGCGTCCGTTTGTGATGACTCGGCCTGTTTTATTTAAAGTATTGTTTTAACACTGCCATCAGCTGTTACTGAGTGCCTCTCTGCTCTCCTGACAGTGTGGACTGGACAACGCTTCAGATAGTGAATTAGCAGAGGTGAAGAGGAGTTTCCTGACTAACAACGGTGTAAAACCGGTCGGAGTCGGTCCACTTGTTGTTTCTTCGGGGCAGCAATACAGTCGCGTGGCTGCCATGAGGACTCAGGCAGCCGACGGAAAACAGTATACGGTCCTTTTCCTTCTGACAGGTGAGATAAATTAAACATTAATGATCATGTTTGGAATGAAAACAGTTCTTATCTCCAGATAGCAGGCATGAAGTCTAGAGTCTGTATTAAACACTGTTCGTCATCTCTCTGTGTGACATCCAGAGTCCGGATTCCTCCACAAAGTGGTTTTGCTTAATCGGGGTGCACACATCATCGAGGAGATTCAGGTCTTCACACAACCTCAGCTGGTCAAAAACATCATCCTCTCCCCGTCCAAGGTAAACCTCTCACCTTCAGGGTTATATTACAGTTCCTGCTGTGAGATGATTTAGAGTGTCAGAGGCATTAATGTTCATACTATAACTATCATCCCTTTAAATCTGTGTCTCCAGCTGCATTAGGCCGTTATGATCGATGCTGAAATTCACACAACTGATTTCAAGCAATTTTTGGTTTACAGGAGAATTCCAATCCAATTGAATTTATTTATATTGCACATTTTAAAAATCAATGTTACCAAAGTGCTGCACAAAGAATAAATAAAAAAAGATAATAGCACAAAAAACACACAAATCAGCTGATTTCACACCGAGATCCTGCAATAAACGTGGGAATAATGTCCACCAGTATGCCGCATTCGCTCGTGCAGAGTCGATGGACTTCCGGAGTTGGACTGTAACACAACAGCGTTGAAACGTCACTCCTGTTCCGGCATGCCGGCGTGGCTTTTCACACAGACATCATTCTGCCTCTGTTAGTAGCAGCATTCCCGGCTCAGAGGCGGATCAAATCGGACCCCCCTTTCCGGCTCTGTGTCTTTCATACAGCGCAGCGAGCCGTCATAGTGGCGTAATAATCCTGGAATTTAAGGCATCATGAAAGCGCCTATAGACAACAAACAACGGGTGATTCAAAACCCTAAAAAGAGAAACCAAAGAGCCCAAAGCTCTGGAGTAAAAGCCATGGAATGAAATGAGTTTTTAGACAAGAATTATAAGTAGCTTATTCCGCAGTTTAGGGGTTACTGCTGAGAAGGCACGGCCGTCCCTGTCTTTAGGAACGACAAGCCACAGCTGATCAGCGGACCTTAGCGACCTTGAGGGGGAGCAATCATGTAGGAGGCTTGAGACTGAGGCGCCAGCAACTTAAAGACAAACAATCAAATCTGAAGCAGTGCTCCTGCGATGAAGAGAGCACATGCCTTTTTAAAATAAGAGAGTAAAAAGTTGAGAGCTGAATGAGGACCTGAAGGCTGCTTTGATGGACCAGGAGAGCTTGGTTTGGGCCGAGTAAAAGCTTTTAAGGTGGCTGAAGAATATTTGATAATATTTGACGTGTAGATCACAGAGAGCACATCACAGTGTTTTCTGGTCCTGTAGGGAGTTCTGTACGTGGGGACATCGGAGGGGGTGACCGCTGTACCTGTGGCCAGGTGCTCGATCTACAGATCCTGCAGCCAGTGTATTCTGGCCAGAGATCCTCTGTGTGGATGGAGCCGGACCAGCAGGGTCTGCACCGGTCTGGACAGCAGTCATGAGAACATGTAAGTGAAAGTCGCCTTTATTACTCTGTAAACATCTTCAGAGATCCTCACAGGATGTTTAGCCTCAGATTCAGGTGTCAAGAATAATGTTTCTGTATTTGGGGTTTTAGTTGTGTAACTTTCACTTTATATGGAAATATTTATTCTTAAATGTATTGTGAGTGAGTCATTGCAATAGATAAAAAGCTGCATCAGCCCTGTGTAATGACTGAAGGGCTGTCGGTTTACTCCTCAGTGTTCAACACCTGGAGGACGACAATGTGGAAAACGAATGTCAGATACAAACCAGGGCCAGCTGGAACACAGGTAACATCTTCCTTAGTATGTATAAATAAATAACTGGCTCAAGGTACAACCTGATCTTAAATGTCTCTAACATTTTTGAGATTTTATTTCTTTTCCCTTCCATCCTTCTGTGTTTGGTGACGATGCTAAGAGTCTTCAGCCATGCCAGCAGATGTGGGTTAAAATCAAGGGCAGCTGGAAGACATTTCTCATCCAGGAGGCATCTTAAGTTCTGACTGAACGGCCGGGGAGTCCTAGCTATTTAACCACCAAGGTGATGGATAGCACTTGGTTCGTTAGTGCCAAATGAGCGTTGGTTCAGCCTCCCTTGTTGAGAGATGGTTTATCTACTGTGGCGTAAAAAGCTTCCTTCACTCCCTTTCATGTCTTCCCAGGAGAACGAACACTCACATTTGGCATCAGGTGACTCCAACGACCACGACTGTCGTTCCAACAGCCAGGAGCACTGATGACCAAGTGCTATCCATCACCTTGGTGGTTAAATAGCTAGGACTCCCTGCTAGTCAGTCAGAACTTAAGATGTCTCTTGGATGAGAGGCGAAACGTCTTCAGGTCTCTTCCACCAAGTCCAGTTGCCCTTGATTTTAACCCGGCTTGGATAACTATGACCTGGATGATCTTCAGAGACATTTTACCATGTTCAACATTTTAGTTTAGCGTGTTAGCATGCTAACATTAGATAATTAGGACCAAACACAGAGTGCAGCTCAGGCTGATCAGAATCAGAAATACTTTATTGATCCATGAGGGGAAATTCTGTTGGGAATGTCATTAGTTCTGCAGGAATTTAGTCATAAACACAGACACATAAGACCCATTAACATGTTGACATGATGACGGTGCTAGATGGAAGACAGAGGAGGTTAGTACAGTTCATCCTGAGGGGAACATGAAGGTCTGAACCACATTTTATCACAATCCATCCAACTGCTGCTGAGATGTTTCAGTAAAAGCCAAAGATTGCAAACATTCAAACTGGTAAACACCAACGTTTGTATGAAATTGAAGGACATTCCAGATATTTTAGTCCAGACCAAGGTGGTAAACTGACCGACAGACTGATGTTGCCCTCCATAGAGCTGTGCTGCCAGCATAACTGAAAACAGAGAGCCTTACTCAGCACCATCACCTCCTCTCACTTGTATTTACTCTGAAATGTTCTGTCCTGCAGAAGTCGGTGTTCATTTGAACGAAGCAGTGAGGCTTCAGTGTCAGAAGCCTTCCAACCTGGCCACTCTGACCTGGACATCCCCCCGATTCAGAAACCTGCCAGAGAAACTCTTCATCCTGTCAGCTGATGGCAGTTTGAGCTTCCTCGCCACCGCCGACACCTTCGGGATTTATCGCTGTGAAGCGGTGGAAGGCGGGTACAAAGAAGAAGTTGCAAGCTATGCTGTCCGACAGATTGCTTCTCCTCGCTCCATGAACCCGATTCCAAAGGCCGACGAAAACCTCGTGACCAACGGCAAAGACGAGCCCTACGAGGACATTTTAACTGATGCACCAGTCATTACTACAATACAGTCTTCAGGTGACCTCGAAGACTACAAGACAAACTACAATGGCGATAAAATCATGACCAATTTCAATGTAGAAACCATCTTAAAGAAAGAAGATTCTGGATTGAAAAACCCATTTCTAAACAATGGTTTGGACTTCACCTCGACCTCCAGAAAAGACGCCCAGTCTGGGAACGAGCTGCCCGAGGATACTCGGATGCCAAAAGAGAAGAGCTACTACACTGAGCTGGTTATCGTTTCCCTCCTGCTGGCGACCTGCATCTGCTTGCTGATATTCGGAGGGATCCACATGTGGCGGCACAGGAGAACTGGCCTCAAAAAGAATCCACTGGTCAGTCCAGAGGGTGGCAGCAAAACAAACCAATCTATGGAGAGCGTTCCTTCCCTGAGCAGCCCAGAAGATCTTGACGTGAAGGTGGGGTAGTAACAGTGATTTACTGAAAGCCGTCTTGCAGTATTTTAAATTTGTCTCATGATCATTCCTACCTTGAAACACATTTTTGTGAAATCCTCTTGCTAAATGTCTTAACCTAGTCTTATCTGATCCAAGTCAAGAAAAACATTTTACAAAATGTTGAGTCCCTTTTTAATGGAGGAACTTTTTTGTGTGTGATCAGTGGTTTTTATTGATTTTCTTTTCAGACAGGGCAAAAACAAGATAGATCACATCAGATATATCGTTTGTAAGAGCTGAGAGACAGGACATGGGTCTAAATGATTCTTGATGGTCTGAGCTGTCATGTTATCATATAGGATGTCTCAGGGTCCTTTAACTTTAGTTTATCTTCATCTCTTTAGTTCCTTTTTTTGTTTTTAAGGAAGATATAAGTTTGTTTTTGTTATACAGAATAACAGCCAAAAAAATATTTAATCATCCAGAACATCTCAAAAAAGCTTTGTCAGCTAGTTTTCTGAACACAGAACACACACAGAACACATAAACCGCTGACTTACTTTTGCCTTATATGTCATTTTAAGTCCAAAAATCTGCGGATTTGATGCTCCGAGTTTCGGCTCCGACGCCATCTTGCTTATTTAGCAAAACATGGAGCTGTACATGCCATCCCTCGACTTTTTTCAGAGCAGGGGAAGCGCCGCTTTGGAACACACAGTCTTTTTTGCCATTTGCTGGCCGAGGATATCCAGATATCAAAATAAATGGTTGATCCCTCCCGCCATCACTGTGGGATGTTCCCTTCTCACGCTACAGGCCTGTAAAGCGTCGGTGTGCTTTTGGTGACAGAAATGTTGATGAATATTCACTGTTTTTATCAATATTTCAATGTTATATTATTTGGAACGTGGTTTTATGGATATAAATAGTGTTTTAAAGATATCTCTCAATAAAAGTCAACATTTAAACAGTAAATATTATATATATATAACTGTTTATTTTCATCAAATTTACAATTACAATAAATTACAATTGCATTCCAGGTGTATTAAAATATAGTCTGGTGCATTATAATCTATTTTATGATGGTTTTGATGGTTTATTGCATTAAAATATAGTATTTTTTACCAGGCGAGTATGAAAATATCATATTTTTTCTTTATTGCATCTCCATTTACTCTGTAATGGTAAAATAAATATGTTAATTTACAATGGATTTATATTTGTTAGATTCTGACCTTTCAGACCAGAGTTATGCATCTAGGCCAAATGGTTGGGGAGATATTACTGATTTATTTTGCGTTTGTTAGTTTAGGCGTTTTTCCTGGAAAAGGGTGTCTGTTTTCAGCAGGTTAAACCTTTTTCATTGTCATTATATCCAGATCAACAGGGATAACTTGAAGGGGGGGGGCAGACTGGGGCACAGTTTTGATAATAAACTGTACATTATTGTTTATACAGGTAATAAATGCTGCAGGTTAAAGGAAATATTTTTTCACAGTAGTTTTTCAGTCTTCAGTAAAGCTTCGATCCCTGATTTAATGTGACGGGTCCAATTGAAAGAAATTAATATATAGACATTTAATGTACTTTGTGTTTCATTAGATATATATGTGTAACATAATGTTTAAATGAAGGCTGAATACCTAACTGTGTTTTTGTGAATAATTTTAATTGAACTTCATGTCTACATATATATAATCTATTTGTAAAATCAGGGATTAAGCAGCATGAATATTGAATCCTGTCTTCAACACGGTTACTTTTTTTTACTGTGTTTGGTTGAATGTATGTAAACAGGATTAGATGTGAGTGTAATGAGGTCTGTACATATCAGTAATAATCAAGAAGACATGAAATCTCTAAAAAGAAGTTAGAAACATGTTTGTGTTTAATTAAAACGCTGTCGCCCCGTGTGTCTCAAAGGAAAACTTGATTATTTATTGTTGTTCTGGTGACGCTGTCCTTATATATTGATTATTATCATATAAATGCAATTCTAATGCTTACAAGTGTGATGTTTTTATTGATGTTGAAGATGATAAATCCAGAGCAGTTTACTGAACTTCTTCCAAGTGTATTTTGTTGTGTTTGTTGAAAAAATATCTGCAGGGAATAAAATTTTGAATAAACTTTCTCTTATTTCAAAGTATTGATCTGTATTGCTGTATTTTCTTCTCTTCTCTTTCTTAATTATTCCAATCAGCTATTTCAACATATGAGCTCCTGATAAAAGCTTTCCAACAAATACAAAATGTGCTTCATGTGAGAGGCGACACTGCCATGATTGTTTGTAATGTGCACAAGCACAATATCAGTGGGGCTTTTTATTTTTTCATAGTAGACGCAGGTTTGAGTGCCATCCTGAAAATGTGTTTGTCAGCTGAGTCAAACTAGATTCCCAAATACTGAGTTTGAAAGTTAACCGTTTTTAATTCCAGAGAAGTTCAGATTCAGATATTTTAAAGGTGATTTGAATCTTTATTTGGTGAGAACAAAAAATATTACTTCTTGTTTTATTTATTTTATAACATTAGCCTACTTGCATTTGTCTCATTCTTTTATTTCAGTGACACAAACACATCACAACGTATAATTAAATATTAGATTTGCGTTTTAACAAATGCTAAATTAATTGATTTCAGACACATAGATTTGGATTGTTGTTTAACATAAAAACATCTGGATCCAAATTGTCCAAAGTGCAGAATGCAAACCTTCAGTCCCTTCTGCTGCTGCCAGGAAAAAATATTTTCAGAAGAATATTCAAATATTCCTTGACCTTGTTCGGTTCAAGGTTGGTTTTCCTTAAATTAAAATTCAATCAAAGGTAGATTTTCTGTCGAATTTTCCGTTATTGCCCAAATTTGCCCAGTTTCCCATTTCTGGTGAATCTGAGTGGATGTGCTCCTCTAACTAAATAAAAAACATTTTCAAAATGTCAGAGAGAAGTAGCCTAATCAACAGCATTTATATTAGTCTCCACAATTTCCACATGATTCAAACCTACAGGACTATCATCTGACCTTTGACCTGAGTTTGTTATTAACTGTCAAATACTTGCTTTGTTTGCTAACAGCATTGTTTCAGCGCTGCAGTCTCCTTAAGAAGACAAAGTGAAGCTGCTGTCAGAGGGGAATTCTTCGAAATTATGCTGTGGAGATGTAAATGCAGTCTTCAGGCGTTATCGGAGAGACAGTAGTCAAAACTGTTTCCCACTTACAAGCTGAGAAGGTTTTTAAATGACACAGACTAGATGTACGTATTTTTAACGGACACACAAAGTAATTGGATTGGGACAACGAGAGACAACAGAAAATATACACCAAAAGTCAAGTTAAATGCACACAGCACAGCAGTGTGAGGGGAAAGGAATTTTTTAAATAAATAAAAAAATATGTGTGAGTTTTTATTTAAGAATATCCAATAATTTCTTGTGTAATATAAAAATAAAACAAGTCATTAAAACATTTTTGGCTGTAAGTCTGTTTTAGTTTCCACTCTAAATTAACTTATTTGGTGGATCAGTCAGATTTATGAGTTTATGCTGTGTACCTGAAGGCAGCATAAGAAGTTCAACCAGCCCCAAAACGTAGCAAAGATTTATTTAGTTCATTGAACTCACCGTGTCTCTATATTTGACCTGTTTGGCCTTCCATAAAGTGTTACGCAAGTGCGCTTCGCTGGCTGTTTAATCCGCCGGTGTCCCCGTACACCTGCGACACACCCACCAACCCAGAAACAAGTAGGACTGCTTCACCGGGTAGAGGGAACATTCCGTTCAACCCAGAAACCGGAATAAAACCTAAATTCAAGTTAGTGAGCTTCAACATCTCCACCTGAAAAGTGCAGGTAAGTTTTTCTAACGTCTTCAGACAAACAAATAGTACTTCAGTATTCAGTGGGATTGTATATGCAGAGATAATTAGAGTTAAATGGATATTTTCCTCCTTATAAATTTAAGACATTTAAGATATAATCCACGGACATTTACAGGTGTATCATTGCTGTCAGTTCATCTGGCAGCGGCGTGTTTGTCTGGCTGTTTTTAAGTCTTCTTTGATAACACGTGTGGATTAAAGAGCCAAATCAGCCAAATCTATACTCTGGTGATGCAGCTTTGTTTTGAAGTTTGTGAACTCACATGTGATGACAGTTAAAGAGACTTGGACTGTATGTTTGGTGCTGTTTAATATTCAAAAGTAAAACAACAACCACCTTTTGTTATGTGAAAGATATAAACGGGAGAAACGTGTGGACTCAGCAGCAACAGGCTTCTCATATCAAACTAGTTGTTTGCTGATATTAATTAACACCTGGATGCAAAGCTGTCCACTTTCTTTCAAATATATCAATTCAGTTTCTTTCTACATGATAAAGACAATTACTTTTTCCATCAAATCAATAAATACGTTAACTCACAGAGACTTTATCTTTAAAGCAAACAGAGCAACATTTTGCTTCTTTCTCACCACAGAAAAGCTGTGAAAACCATAAATATCTGTAATATTTATCACATATTTTTCTAGATGTGCCCTCTGGCTCCCTTGTTTGGTCAGTCAGTTTTTTTCAGAGATCCTAAACGACCTCTGACCTCTCTTCATGACGTCCATCACCGCAGCCGAAGGATTAGGGGCCGTGACTCCCGCTCCAGACTGCTGTCTACGCCCCACTGGCCCCGCCCCCAGCCGCAAAGGCCCCGCCCACCTCCCCAGCAAACATCGCCATGAAGGCCGTCTTCCTGAAGCCGCAACCACTGGTCCTCGGGGTGAGACGCTGAAACAGATACGTAGTGTTCATGCTGGTTCTGTGTTTCTACCAGTTTATATAGATTTTACAGCTTAACAATGTCGGTATTTAGTCAGATTTGGTGAGAGGTTTATGGAGTGGTGCCGCTCCAGGGGGGGAGATCAGCTCAGAAACCAGAGAGACGCTGCTGAACTTCTTGAGAATCTTCAAGTTTTTAAGTTTTTCTTCAGCATCACCGTGATCCAGTGACAGCTGCCCGTACATCCATGCTGGCACAGTGTCAGGCTTTGAAAACCCCAGTAAGGCTCTGTCACCGCCTGTAACAAAAACGGGAGACATACGGGTAAACTAAATAACAAAGTGATTTATTAATAAGAAAATAAGCGAAAACGATGAGTGGGATAAGTGAAATGTGCTGCATGGATGTTGTGGCGTAAAAACAAACCAAAAACAGCAAAGGAAGCCGTGAAATGAGGAGATCCAAACCGAGACTGCTGCTCTGGCTTATATGCATGGGACGCACCGGGCCCAGGTGTGTCCCATGCCGCTGATAACCCTGCCAATCAGGTCTGCAGCCCTGGAGACAGACAGCTCACCAACAGCAGTATGAACTCTGCAGAGGGGCCGTCACAGGCTCCACTCATCAATAGTTTTTTAATTC